TGTCTTGATTATACTGTGTAAATGTCGAAATAAGATTACAATTTGCACCTATTGTTTTCAAGTTGGAGCAAATGGCGAAAAATGTGGATTACTCCATACTTGCAAGTTGCTAAGTTCAGTGAGTTGTTTCAACCCTGTACTTGTTTTTACCAGGTAACCATGATGCCAAGGTTTTGAAGAAGCCAAATGTCATATTGGTCAATTTCATTATGTGCATTTTAATTAAGAGAACCTGATCATTTTTCTATCAATTATATCGATATATACTTCAGAGAGTGAATTTCCAAGTTCTATAGGACTTGCTAATTTCCATCTACTGTATTTCTATGTCCCCTTTTCTCAAAAATATCAAAATTATGGGTTTACTTTTGCTGTATCAGAGTGATACTGCCAAAAGTGTGATATTGGGTGCCAAAGGATAGTCTGTTCCCATAACACGGATCAAGTTAGCAGCCCATTCAGTTACCCTTATCCCCCAGGGGCTATATAAACTACGATAACATTTACAATGGGACTTCTTTCCATCATAAATTGAGGCATCATGGGAATATGGTTGCCCATTTATGTTCCCTGTTTATAGCCTACGTCATTGCTAAGCAATGAGGTCCTCCTCTAGGCAATTCTGTCTTTTAGCAGGCCTATGCTAGTGCTATCTCACAGCCCGGGTTATTAAATTGTCTCTTGGCAAATATCATATGATGTAATCCTAAATTATATGTATGGGAGAGGTACCATTATGAACATATAACAAACAGATGTGACTGCCGTCATACAAAATCATTATAAAGTTCTATTTTATTTTCTAGCGAAGTTTCAAAATGGGACAGGAAGGTGGGTTATTGAGAGATGTGAAATAGCAGTCAAGGGTTTCATCACATCTCAGGCTGAGCCGAATATACAGTAAGCCTTCAACAAGATGGCATTCTAACTGAATCAACGCTGGTTAGAACAGACACAGTCATCCATGTCTCTCATTCCATGTTATTCTGCAATGTAATTATAGAAAGGATTAAATCCAAATATAATTGCACAGGCCAAAAATCTAATTTTGTCAGAAGTTATGACTTTACATTCTGGGCTGTCAAAGGCACTTGGTCACAAGCCATATAATTTCATATATAAGAATCTCTTCGACGAAAAGCCTCAAACCAAAAGTTCTAACTGAGGTTACCAGATACAATTTAACGGGAGTCCGTTTTGGAATCAAACACTTGCCCAAAGCAGAAAATGTGGCTCAATTTACAAATAATATATTAAATTGCACATCTAAATCCTATTTTATTTCAAAAAGTATTTGTCATTCCTCAATAAATGTCATGCAGTGTATTTCAGTGTTCCTTTTGTCAAGTTTATTGAATTAATAGCATAACAAAGGCAGAACAAAGAGAGAGAAAAACAAGGCATGAGAAAAAAACTGAACTGTTGGTCAGATATGATTGAACTAGGAAATCTGGTGGGTTGTGCAAGAGGTTGTGCACTTGGTTGAAAGTTGTAACAGGATGTGACTCAGGTTTTAATGTGAATTATATAAAACTACAAAAGGTTGTTGTCCCCGTGTGCTTGCTAATTATCCTGTTCTGGCAAATACGATAATTTTCATTGTATAGACTACCGCTTTACAATGGCAGAACAATACAAAGGGAAATTGGGAATTCTGCAAGTAACTTAAGACAGGGATGGGAAAAATGTCACCAAATTCTAGTGACATCAAACACTTTTAAACACACAAAGTACATTATATAATGTATTTATCCTTATATTGTGGAGACTACAGCCTATTGTTATATTCTGAACTCTATATGCTTTAAAGCCTGAGTGGTCCAATTGGGAAAATTTATTTTTAATATAACGCCCAGACGAAACAGACAATTGTCTGACTGGGAAATGATAAGGATTAATGAACTAAGCATATTGGATGAAACAATGAGCATAGATATCATATAATCCCCTACTTCACTTTGGTCAGTTTTTATAGACCCCGAGACAATTTAGCGATGGAACAATTCAATACCATCAGATAATATTACATGACATACAGATAATGTTATTGTTTTTCCATCCAGGGAAAATTAAACAAAATTGTGGTAAACAAGTTCCCCTAGTCAGAAAGCCATTTATATTAAAATATATTTTGCTATAATGTATATATTAAGTATAAAATAAATTTCTTATCACTAATTAAAGTGTATCGTTTGTTTACTTTTATTCTTTGAATAATCTATATACGATTTGTAAGGTTCTTCCTCTATTTTGAAAATAATGCATAGTTACAAGATGTGCATGTGAATATGATGAAAACCATTAGAATTATTTAGATTTGATTAACCTAAAGCCTTTGATAAGCATTTGAATGGGAATATAGATGGGAATTATGCGAAAGGTGCTTATTAAGGGAGTTCTGCTGAGGCAGATCTAAGCATCACGTTGTCCTGGAAACCTTACACTCAAATGATGGTTGAATGATATGATTAAAGAAACATGAAAAATACCTCATTATATTACTCCACAAATACAGATTTGACCTCTTTATAAAAATAGTAATCTGTTACATTAAAAGCAACTTTTGAAAAATAAAATTGATTAATTCAAAATTCTGAAAAAGCAAAATTTGGCGTAGTAGCTGTATTATATCATTCAACGTGGACAAAATAATATATACTTTCAAACAATGTGCCTCCCATGTTTTGCATTAAACCTATCTTGATTCAAACCTGTATCATTAATCATCTAGCGAACAGAATAGCTCGATTTTTCTATTGTTCTAACAGATACTATCTGGAGTAAAAATATCACACCGCTGCACAACAAAATGATTGATTTAACTGGCTCATAATCACAGAAATTACCAACATTAATTCTCCTATGTTTTAATACTAACACCTAAAGCTGGTCATTTGGTACGCTGTTTCCATCTTGCATTTTTGTTTCTATTCTTTCTTTTTCAAGAGATAATAGTTATTGAATATTTAAACGCTGGAACATTTCCCAACTTCTCGTTCAAATTATTTGAAGTATCATTAAAACACCACAAACTGACAGGAAAATTTATATATAAAATGTTAGAATTAGAACAATTCATATTTTAAACATGTTCAAATTCTTTTTAACATGTGTAAATTTGGGGCATTCACAAAGCCCGCTAAAATGAGGCTTTACTTAGGTCCTTAAACCTATTTATTTATTCTATGTAAACAGGTAAACTGAAATTTCTTAAGATTCTCCTGTGAATATATAATTTCAGCGCTTGTAAATAACTCTGTATTATTCAGCCCAGTTTCAACTGTGTATAAAGTAACCAACCTTAAAATAAAAAGTTTGAAGTATGTGAATAGAGGAAGAATAATGGAACATGTATTGGTGCACAGACCCATAGGTCAGGCAGTTCACTAGGGCAGGTTTTGCAGATATGATAAACTGAAGTTTTAACACTCCCAAATAATATCTAATTTGGCCTGCTATGATACAATAATTAGTTATAAATTTTCAGGTTTTAAAAAATCTATATCTGAACATGACTTCAAAATATATGGAAGTCATAAATTTAATGACATGTGTTTCCTAGGTAAGACCATGTAAGAAATTAAAAATGTGTCTCAAAAAATAATATGCATGAAAATGAATAAATTATGAGAGCATGGGTCCAATTAGTGAGAAAATTAGGAAGATGATAGAATTTGCTAGATGTGTTCCTACACCACAGATGGTGAACTATACAATTAGGAAATGTCATAAATTAATTATAACAATATTTAACATTTGACAATTAGGTATATAAGGTGACCGAAACACAATTTTCAAAATATAACATGTGTGTTACGAAATGTCTAATTAAAGTATTTATATATATGTATTGGCTTACTGTAATACCTATTTCTTAAATTCCTGTTGTTTTAATGAGTTTATATTATAAAGGAGATTAAGGTTTAGGTTCATATTCAATGCAAGAAAATTGTGTAATTGGGACAAATTCTTATGATTGAGCAATGGCAGCACCCTGAGAAGGCATAAAGTCAGCTAATTTTCTCTCTAATCCAGAAGCCTAAACTAAGGTTTCTGCTATTTTTCCTAATTATTTCTCTTGAGTCGAGCTTAACTGAATAATTCCTGCCAGCAAAAGTGCCACGATTTTTCTTAGATTCCGGTTAGAAATTAGATTGCTATATATGTAGCTGTAACAGCTAACAGCTCCCTAATGTAAAAGTTACGCCAAGAAAATAGCACTGGCACCGATCAAAAACTAGAAGAATCAAATATTTATTTTTCATTTATCTTGGCATATTAGTTTTAATTGAAACACATTTAATTGCTTTACATAGAACGTCTTTGTCATGGTTCTTGATGTTATTGATATTTAGAAGTTTAGTAGTTTATCTATCTATATTGTCATTGTCATAAGTTGGTTTTTGCCCTTTGTAAATATTGCTGAAATTTTACGTCACCAATCCACATTACAACAACTACACTCTACAATAACACAATCACCACAAATTACAACAATAAATTTGCTACAAATTTAATATAACATTAATGAACATATTGCATTAAGCTATTTCATTTTTTAAAGAAAATGCTCATAAAATGACTCATGTAATGGCAAGATTTTTATACTATACTACTAGATGAATAATTTCATTTCATTAATAATCACAATGCTATATAAAATATATAAGGAAACAGACATATACATTTGTTTTGGAAATAATTCTTCAATATTCCTTCAATATATTTTTGTGTACAAATAAGGAAATAAAATATAAAAAACAGCAAAACATTTATTGAATTCTATAATGGTTAAGTTCACAAATATCGAAAAACATTCAATCAATGGATTTTAATCTCAAGCCAATATCAAAGTGACATTAAGTGTACTTTTCAACCATGATCTCTTTTGCAGTGCCATAAACAGTTAACTGTGACTAGATGAGCGTGAAATGGCTAGAGTCTCCCAAATTAACCCCCGAAAGTCCCCTTGAGAAAATAACAATGTAAAAATAACTTGCCTATACCTGCAAGCCGGAGTGCCGACATTCGTTGGAACTCGGGCTCTTGTAACCATTTCCACATCCTCCTAAAAGTTTCACGTCCTGACTTCAATTTGCTCCATGGTTTGGGATTGCGCAGCAGATCACTGAGAGTGCCCTGGCTTCGACAGAGGACACGTTGTGCAAACACAGCTTGCGGGATACTGTACCGTTTTAATTCGCTACTGATTTTCTGTGCCAACTCTTTAGTGTTGATTTCTTCCAGCTCCTTACCAGAGCCATTGTCCATGAGAGTTGGGGTTCGTTCCCGGCTGAGACTGTGCTGTGGGGAGGGGGTAGCTTGATGTAGCCCATTTATCGTCTGGCTCATCATGGGGTTAGGAGAATGTAGGCGCCCAGTCATGGGGGGTGCCAAACTTCTGGAGTATGGGTCGTAACTGATTGTATTGTTGGGAGAAATAATTGGTTTTAGCTCCTGCTTGGGAGAATGTAGGCCATTGTGTTGAGGACTTGTGCTGTACCCGTATGAGCCACAAAGACTCTGACTGGGGTACCCATTATTATGTGATACTGGTGTCATCATTGACATCGACATGGGACTTCCACCCATATTAACATTCACACCACCAAGTTTGTCATAGCGATAACTGTTCATATTCATTCCCATGTCTGCCATTCCCAAACTATTGTTCTGCATAAAAGTAAAACTTCCACTAACATTCGGAGTCTGTTGTCCAAATTTTTCTGAAACTGTCGAGATAGGCGGCAGTGGCTGTAGGGGGGTAAGTGTAGCATAATTGTTAGGTCCTGAAGTTGTGTTGTAGTTTGGGCTCATCCGCCCATTCAAAGTTTGATATGTGGGCTCTAAAGCCATTTGATTCCGATACTCGTTAGGGTCAATCATGTTTGCGACACTAACTCCTCCAGCTGTAGACCTGTTAGGTGACAGCTCCTGGTGTTGACTAAACTCGTCTTGCTGGCTTGGAGATACAACGCTCACTGATCCAGAATTTGCTGCCGAGTCGTTCAGTCCCGGTTGGTCCGATAGTTCTCCCATGCTTTCCATTCTCATGCTAACCCTTATCGACGGGTCCAATAAATACACATAAACACTATAGTTCTTTGATGCGCTTACCGTTAATTTGGGTCGATGAGACTCGGTGTTTGTCAGTGAATAAGCCTGTGAACTAGCATAATGTACGGCGAATCATACTCCATGTTTGGACAGCTGTATATTGTAACGAAATGCGCACGCAGTTCATTCAATTACGCATGCGCAGTAGTCATAATGACTTTGTTTACTTTCACTTTCTTAATTGATTTTATTGTTTTCACACTTGGCACAGTGCCAAATGATATAGCATCCTCAATTAAAACGCAATTACAGTACTTATTATATGATTGCCTGAATCTGACCAATAGTAAGCTTCCGTAGCTTCGATATAAAGGTGATTTATTCAAACGTGAGCCTTGCTGGGTGGAGCGATACTTTGCCATTCAATCAAGTGTTCGAAATTGTAAAGTTGTAATAATTGTAGAACGTGAGGGAGTCATCCCGGTGCAATTTTTTAATAATGGTATTCAATTTTCTTGTTCCAAGAAGAAGGTAAAAAGTTGTTCAAAATTCTTTTGGTGCCATGGGGCCGAAGGGGGCATAACCGGGCCGCGGCCTGGACCGGGCGGTTTGAACTGAGCAATTGGGGGTTGAAGCAAGCCCACCCGGGCAAGTCCACAAGATCTTGATAAGTTATGTGAGATCATTCAATCGGCATTAGTCTACCACTTTCTTTTCTCAAATTTCCCTGAAGTTCCTTCTTCCTTGTCCCAGTGGGCATTGACGTGCCACAAGACTGGCCTTCCCCAATTTCCCAACTCTGTGGCTTTGATCATTTCAAATCAAGATTCTTGCATCAAGGATCTGAAATTTCATGGAGAAATGCCATTTGAAAGGAGAGTTCTAATTAACTTTATTCTTGACTTGCAAAAAGAGGCAGTTTAAAGGAACGCATTTCAGAAACGTCAAAAGCATATTTACTTGTATTCATTTTCGCTTTTGATAATCTCGACAATTTTCCCAACAGTATCATCTTATTTAGGCCTTTGAGGAATTTGAAAGGTCACTTTTAAACGAATTTCAAATGTGGTTTATGTTTTTTAGGGTTTGTCATCTTGGAATATCGTTTAAATGAACTACAAACACACCGTTGACGCTATGTTAAATGGTAAATTTAATTGAACACTGGTGAAAAGATATTTAATTTCTTATGAAATCTTCGTACGAAAATGTATTTATACTTTATACATGTGAAATTCCCGTTTGACAGCAATTATATCGGTAAAAATATTAAAAATGTATATAAAATGTATACCGAAGAAAATGATATGATATACTTAATGTATATAAGCCATGCTTGTCCCTACCCTGCGCGCAAAGTCAAGTTTTAAACTACGAAGACGGAGCTCTCTTCTGAGAAGCGAAGTCAAACCAATACAAAGGGTACCTTGTCCCAGAGCATCTTATACGACCAATGTATTTTAATCGAGCTGCCGATAAATGAAAGTTTCATAAGTTATACAATACGAGAATGATAAACGTGTTATAAGTGAGTTGCGAAATCTCTCTATTGTTCCAAAGATACTTCTTGCATTCTACTTAGAAATGATTAGCGTGATGTTGTTCCAAGCAAGTTTATTGGGCAAATACCATTTTGAAAACAAATGCCGTTGAAATTGTAAAACTCGACATGACTGTTTGAAAAGTGATGTAGTATTTCCTGGGAGTATTCGCATAAAGGTACTTAGTCCCAGTGATTAGGGAGGTTGAGATACATGTATTTAAAAACGTACGTACGGGTTCTCTTTAAAACGTGTAACATAACGTATCGTCCCAATTATACCAACAACCGAAACGTGAACTGTAAAACGCATCCCTGAAAATCCCAAAAGAACATTCTATGACTGATCAGGAATATTATACATGGATCCATGGGCTCTACCACTAGAGCCCATGATGGATCTTAACAATTGAGTCATTTTTCCACGAGAAAACAGCCCAAATGCTTTAACGTAATAACAATTTCCTCTTATTTCATTTGAGAGTGGACGGTTTATTGCTGAGCATGCAATGGTAGCAGAAAAATATCAAGTGGCCCATAAATAAAATATGAACGTGATGAAACCCAAACCAAGCATAATAGACTCCATATTTTCATTAAAAAAGTATTTTGTCACGTGAATACATTTATTATGTTAATCTATTTTATGTATTATAAATGAATATAATTAATTTGTATAACTTGTAATATTATCATATCTTCATAAATAAAATCAAAACGCAGCATGGATTATCTGATCTCATGATTCATTTAGCCTACACAAGAATTCAATGTAACTGCACGTTTCCATGGATATTTTTGAGTTTTTCTCTAAAAAGATAACCGAATAAAGACAGTCTTGTGTTTTTGTTACTGATGTAGATATAGTTGTCCCCATCAACGTTTCGGTACTACTAGGATAACAAGGATTCGATTAATTTTGTGTTTAGTGTGTAAAAGTGTTGAAAGAAATCTAAAAAAGACTAACCAACGGTCCCTCACAATCCTTACTTTTATTTCCTGAAAATATTGGTATCAGATTTAGAGTTTTGAAGATTTAAGATGTAGACATGTCTGAATTCATTACTGTTGAAAAAGAGAACTCCCATTTCCGATTTTTGCCAGATTGTCCTAAAGTCAAAACATTACAAGGGATGATGAGAGCAAAACATATTGTGACATTTTTCTAAAACTTAATCTTTGAATCGTTATTTTCTCTCAACTTCGTTTCAAGGTCGTGAATATGATTTTCTTAGGCGAGAAAGATGCGGTGAAATATTACTCATTGAACTAGCTAATAAGATATAATTCAATGTACATTGTCTTGTTAATACGGACAAATATTTATGGCTTTGAAAAATAAGGTATAATTTGTCATCAAAACTCTCTTTAAGAGCTAGAGATGAATAGAGATTCATAACTGATGATCAATTAACGGCCTTATTGGATACCTATCCCTTTCTTTTTCTTCAGGGGAAGATACAGATAAAATCAGAAATACTTCAGTTGTACTAGAGGTACATGATTTAACATAAGGAATATATCTACCTCATCTACAAGCAAGAACAGGGATTAGCCTGACTTATTTACTTGTATTTAAATTATTCATTTTATTCACCTGGTCAGTATTGTTACATGGGTTGTTTCCAGTCAGTTAATTAATGTTTTTTACCATTGGAATTTTTTCGACTTAGCTTCTTAAAAGAGAGCTTCGTCTTCGTAGTTTATAACTGGACTCTGGCGGTGGGAGTCTGTAACAAATTATACGGCGGTGACATTTTGTCATGTTAATGCTTTTTTCATTTTGTGATCGCCTTAGCGATGAATCCGAGCTGGGCGCTGCTAATACGATCATCATAACTTTCTCGATACTTTACTGTGTATTTTTTGAAGGTATGAGACAGGTGCGTTTACTGGGATTAATGGATACACTTTTATTTTCATGAAAATGATGTTTAACTTAATAGTTTTGTGAAATTCTGTAAAATTTTCAAGTACTTATGCTTAAGGATGTTCCCTGGACGAAGTTGAAAACGATGAACACCAACCCCTAATTTTTCTTTTAAAAATGTGAAGTACATAGCATAACTAAGTGTTTCTGTGAGTTTAAGAAAAAGTTAAATATTCAAAAGTGTGTTTTGGGGTGAAAACCTGATTTTTAACATGGGTTTCAATGAGAAAGTGCCACGCCCACTTTTGTCAAATATTGACACTTTAGAGGCCTCTTGCTCAGAAAAAAGCACACTAACATATGGTTTTTAAAGTTTTAATATTCTTTGTTGCCCGTGAGAATCCCAGAAAACCATTTTTGAGAAAAAGTTAAATACTATTGAATATTCTCCTATCTGACCAGGGAACATCCTTAATACATTTATATCCACGATGCATGTTTTCTAAAACTGTAATAGTTTTGCCTTTATTTCATAAAAATGTTTTGAATTAAATTCAATTATTCCGAAAAGGATAACATTTTTTTCAACATTTCTGCATTTCAAATCTTACTTGTTTTATCTGATATCTCCTGATAACTTTTTCCAGATATTAAGTCGGGACATTGGATTAATTAAAAATATTGTTTCTCACATACACGACATCATATTCATTCTCATTCTGCTGCCACTTGATATTATTGAATTGGCCTGACATCTATTGATTACTCGGTAACTTTATCGCAACTAGATAAAAACAATATAATACATTCACAAATGCGATAGTAATATTCTTCTTGCTTTGTTAACTAGTCTGTTCAACACTTTTTCAAGTCTTAATGTTCTTGGAAAAAATGTTTTTGAAAAAGTAGTTGTGCTACGCAGAATCTCCATCTTCTCAGGAGCTGAAGTAGATGGAGGGGAGGTGGTCCAGAGAAAAGAAAAATGTTTTATCATGAACATAATATTCCACTGAATTTCATTTATTTATTTATTACTTATTTTTGGATTCAATTGTTTAGCACCAGTTTATTCACAATATATATTTTAATATATACATGTACAGTATTATTTTATTTTACAGGGTCTCCATAGAGTCTCTTTATAATTATAATGCAGTCTGTGTAAAATGTACTTTATGAACACCCTGTAAATTACAGGCCTGCAGCCAGCTTTTCCCAAGAGGGGTTCACTTCAAAAAAATCCAGGGACTTGGGAAGTTCACATTTGACAACTTTGACACAAAATCACTTGAAAAGTGCTCAAAACTGCATGATTTTGAAAGGATTTTTTGCAATGGGCCTGTATTACCACACAACATGTACACTTCCAACAAGATTCATTAACATACTATTCTCAACAAGATTCATTAACACACTATTCTCAACAAGATTCCTTAACACACTTTTCTCAACAAAATTCATTAACACACTATTCTCAACAAGAACAAGATTCATTAACACACTATTCTCAACAAGATTCATTAACACAGTATTCTCAACAAGATTCATTAACACACTATTCTCAACAAGATTCATTAACACACCATTCTCAACAAGATTCATTAACACACCATTCTCAACAAGATTCATTAACACACTATTCTCAACAAGATTCATTAACACATTATTCTCAACAAGATTCATTAACACATTATTCTCAACAAGATTCATGAACACACTATTCTCAACAAGATTCATGAACACACTATTCTCAACAAGATTCATTAACACACCATTCTCAACAAGATTCATTAACACAATAATATCAACAAGATTCATTAACACACTATTCTCAACAAGATTCATTAACACACTATTCTCAACAAGATTTATTAACACACTATTCTTAACAAAATTCATTAACACACTATTCTCAACAAAATTGATTAACACACTATTCTCAACAAGATTCATAAACACACCATTCTCAACAAGATTCATTAACACACCATTCTCAACAAGATTCATTAACACACTATTCTCAACAAGATTCATTAACACACTATTCTCAACAAGATTCATCAACACACTATTCTTAACAAAATTCATTAACACACTATTCTCAACAAGATTCATTAACATACTATTCTCAACAAGATTCATTAACACACTATTCTCAACAAGATTCATTAACACACTATTCTCAACAAGATTCATTAACACACTATTCTTAACAAGATTCATTAACACACTATTCTTAACAAGATTCATTAACACACTATTCTTAACAAGATTCATTAACACACTATTCTCAACAATAGCACATTACATCTTTAATGTAAGCCAAGCAAGATGATCTACAGAAAAAAATAATTTCCTCTCTCATCTCTTGCTCTTTTTCTGACACCCCTATAATAAATTCTGCAAGATTTATTGTGCCCCCTTAAGTACACATTGACAACATAACGGCATAATTTTTGTGACAAAAAAGTTAATTAATTAAGAAAAATGCTTTGTAAGTAAGATAAACTTTAGTGCATCGAGACGTTGCTTGAAGTTAGTAGATTGTCAGTGTTTATTAAATACAGTTTACTAATTGATGTTGACATATGAAAGTGACTTGAGAGTCACTCTACCCTTTACAATTCTCTATGCTATGTAAACAATGGTAGATCAGAGGGAAGTTGGCTTTCCTGACAATGCATTCAACCCTCAGAGCTGTAGCCAGCTTTTGACCAGGGGGATTCAATTTTTAAGAAATTCCAGGGGAGGTTCCTTATGACAATTTTGGCAAAAAAATGGCCAAAATTGCTTGAAAAGTGCTTAGGATGGTAAAACTCTACTTATGATTTTGAAAGAATTTTTGGCCAGGGCTACGGGCCAGACCCTTAAATTCCACATCTTCAGAGTGTGGAATTATAAAACTAGCTAGCCTCAGAGTCTCAGGGTACCTTATCAGTCTCCTCAAATAAACATCAACAATCATTAGCTAGTACAGGTTACATAATGTAATTGAGCAAACATATTTGGCAATTTTAATCCATACTCATTAATCCTCAATCCAAATAGTTTGTTATCATTTGCCGTTTACTTGCACCATTTCTAAAGTTCCACCTAGGAGGTTTTCATCTGAGTTTGCGAGATTTTTTGAAAGTCTGTCTTTGGTTGGTTGAATAGAAAGGATGAACCACCCGAGAATAGCGCTTGTTCCTCGTAGGACATTTAAGATCTTCCAGGTGTCAAGGTGGGTGGCAGTCAACTGAAACAAATCATTATACTTTGAAATTAAATTGTTTTACTTGCATCATAAAATAAGGCAACTGTAATTAAATAATATCTGCAGAATATATTTTTTGTTAATGAAAGGAGCAGTCTATTTTCCCTTTTATTCTTTTAGGACAATCTTAAAAATAAAATTTCTTTAGCCCCTCTGGCTACCAACATGGTTGTTACTATATACATACAAATTTCATCACAATAATGGATGAAATGTGCTAAATTCATGGTTTATCTTTTATTAAATGCCCCATGGAGCTTTCTTTTTTCACAGTTTAAAATAAGGATGTAGGAGGACATGCTTAACATTTTATTAATTGTCTTAGCCTAAATATGAGTGGCAGCTGTCAAGTGAACAATGACAGGGTGATCTACCCTTTGCATTTGTTTGACTTCACAAGAGAGCTTCGTCTTCACTCTTTCAAACTAAAATAAACCTGTGAACTCACCGCGCCAATCAGTTTTCGTCGGCCAAATTTGACCAACATTATTTATATGGTCATTCCTTCTGACGTCATCATTGAGCCCGGAATTGACCAATAACATGCGCATATTTAATTAGAACGCATTTGGCGTGTGTTTCTTCAAGCTCGCTGTATAATATGGTCTCTACTAGGCAGAGTGTAGTTTAATTAAACTAGAGGTAGGGTAAGGGTGATCCAGAAGTAATTTCAAAGATGTTGCCATTTCAATGCTACTGGACTAATCTTCGTGAAACTTGGTACAGATGTTCCCAAAACATTATTGAGTGTATACTCTAAATATAAAGATTCACCTGTTTGATTGGTTGATTTTATTGTAACTATAGTAACCCGATGTGACGTCTCCCGGGGCAAATTATTTGTTTAAGCAGAAAATAGAACTAAAATTTTAATAAGGACAATATAAATGTTAGTTTTAAACACGATATTTTATTGAAATCATGAACATTTAATTGCTCAATCATTTCATACATGATACTCTGCATAATTGCCACAATTAGCAATATATTTTTCATCGTAGTACCATGGACTAGGAAATTTTAAGTCCGTGGTAGTACCCGATGTGCAAACTGATCACATGCTATCTATTGCAAGACTTACGCCTGCCACAACCGTCACCATGTTAATCAGTGTTTTTTAAGTAGCGCAAGGATCCTGCCATGACCGTGGTAGTGTTATCGTGTAAGCCTGGTATAACCGTGACTGGCTGGTATAACCGTGACAATGTTGTATTCTATTGCAAGGCCTGTCATGACCCTGAAAGTGTTATCGTGGAAGCCTGGCGCGACCGTAGCCTTTATTGTGGTTTATAAGCGAATGTGAATATTAATATGTATAGTAGTAATTTTGATTTTGACATGATTAAGGTAGTTAAACACCATGATCATAGTATTAAACTGTTTAATTGTAATGAGGATCACTTAAAATTGTTAAGGATATTCCTGGCATTAATGTCATACATATTTACTAGTCATTGCAATACATTATAACGGTCATAGTAGAACTAAGCCTAAATCTCTACATAACCACCCTCATACCTGGCCTTGCAATACTATATTACATTGTCACGGTCATACCAGGCTTTGCGATCCCATAATACATTGTCATGGTCATGCCAGGTTTTCAAATACACATTGTCACGGTCAATTATAGCAATCATAAATTTCTACATAACCACTCTCATACCCGAACTTGGAATACTATATCACATTGCCATGGCGGTCATACTAATTAAGCCTTGCAATACTATATTACATTGGCATGGTCATGCCAGGCTTTGCAATACACATTGTCACGGTTATAGCAGTCCTAATCATAAATTTCTACATTACCACTCTCATACCTGAACTTGCAATACTATATTACATTGTCACGGTCATGCCAGGCTTTGCAGTACTATATTACATTGTTACGGTCATACCAAGCCTTGCAGAACTATATTACATTGTCACGGTCATGGCAGGCATTGCAATATAATACTGCATTGTCGCGGTTATACCAGGCTTTCACGATAACATTACCACGGTCATGGCAGGATCCTTGCGCTACTTAAAAAACACTGAATAACATGGTGACGGTTACGCCAGGCGTTAGTCTTGCAACAGATAGGGTCTCAAACTGATCTCGAAATCCATGATAACTCATTTTTGGAATACATCATTTCATCAAGTGAAGTTTGAAAACTGATTCCAGTTAGCTCCCACTTAAGTTCACTGTGTAAGTAAATCTCACTTGGGGCAAGATGGGGGAAATATAGGGCATACTAAAGTTGTGGCATTCCCAACCCATCCACTGTACTGATTGTGAAGATGACCTTGTGAGCTTGGGCTTTATCCCAGTAAAAACTTTTCATCTGTCCCAGTCCCAGTCGTATATTTGCTATTATGATGCTTGGTTAACCACTTTCTCAGGAATTAAAAAAGTGTGTTTGACATCATATATGATACGACATTGATGTTCAAATCGTAACATGAAACTTAAAATTATTCTGAAAAATTACTTAAGTTATAAATTATCAAGTTGAGAAGAGTTCCTATTTCTTTCGCAAAATTGAATTTGCCCCAGGTGACATCACAGCGGGCTACCATAGTTACCATGAGATGAATCAATCAAATAGTGGAAGGTTTATCTTTGAGATATCAACTCAGTAATGTTTGAAAATTGGAGAACACCTGTATCAAGTTTCAAGATGATTAGGCAAATAGTATTGAAACGGCAACACCTTTGACGTTACTTCTGGATCCCCCTGGAATAGGATGTTTTGTAAAATTAAAATAAATGTTCACATTTCCAGTGACTGAAGAAATTCAAATATTTTTTCTAAATATACATGTTTTAATACATTCTGTTGCATATGCTAGATATTAGATAAGAAACGATTAATATATCACTTGTAAAGCTACATATGCGAATAAACAGAGGTCAGTTGAAATGGAGGATGCCAAAAATAATAGTATTTTCAATTTGTATCTTAATAACTAAATTGGTTTGTTTTGTAAAGATGGCAGAAAAGGAGATTAATCAATTTCTCACAAGTTATAATGTCATTGTGTCAGCCCAGGAATCAAAGTGTTATTCATTTAGTTTTGACTCAACCCCCACTCTCCCTAAAAATGAAATTGCCACTCTAGATTTTTTCATGAACCTCGGAATTCAATAAATCGATCCTGTTAAAATTGAAAATGGATTTTACACCTACACTTTTAAGGTACGTAATTATGTATATTACCAGAAGTTAATGGTTTAATCACACAAATGGATTAGAATTTTCATTTTGTCAGGCTATTCAACAAGAGTTTCACAATTTTTAGATAATAGTTTTCTTGCAAGGCATTTAAACCTATGACTGATATGAAACAGACATGGCCATTGCATAAAAATGCAATGAACATGATGAACCTCCTGGAAGATTGAGAAATACCACTGTGTGCTATAAAAATATGATGAACTTTCACTCCATTACTTTTCCATGTAAAACTTGGGGTCATCTCAAACATTTTGTACTAAACTTCACACATCATTTAATTTGTAAACTGCTGTATCACCGACCAAAATAAATGTAGAATTTAGTGTGAAACATTTGAGACAATATCTGGGGAGAATAACTGGTATTTCCTTTATACCTGTTCATCTTGCCACAAGTTTGGGTACTTAGTATAGAGCCCTATCCTATCATCCAGTGCAGCTATACTGAGGTTGAGTACAAGTCCTATAAAATACACCAGTACAGATACTGCACCTGATTGTAGAGTCAAGGCCTTGATTAGGAATCTACGGTTGGGATGACTGACATCGTATCTGTAACAATAGAAGACATTTAAGACTTGGTTTGTCAATTAACATTTAAGACTTGGTTTGTCAATTAATATTTAAGACGTGGTTTGTCAATTAACGTTTCAGAATTAGTTTGTCAATTAACGTTTCAGAATTAGTTTGTTATTTAACATTTCAGAATTAGTTTGTCTAATAATTAATTTGCATCATAGACTAATATTACTTTGGGTCATTATGTTAGTGAGTAAAATGCCAGTAAAACACAAGTACGTGATTTGTTATTGAAAAGGCCATTTTGCATGGCGCCTTTTGTATTTTATAGAAATGAAACATTTAAGAAAAAGCATCAAAAACTCAAACATGTACCCCAAATTGATTGGCACATGTTGCCTCATGAATAGAGTATACTAATTGAAAATACAGTGCAACACTCAGTGAAAGCCTGTGGTCAACTTCTCCAAAATTTACAAATTCAAAATTCAATTGTTTATTTTGAAATTACTCAGTCAATCCATCTTCGTTCACTCGGCTCCCGTCGGTGAAGACCGAGCGTGCGAAGATGCAGTCAATCTGGAAAAGAAAAGTTGATTTGGCATTCCATAACTTTGCAACATTTGCAGAAATTGACTCCAGAATCTTAACAATCTGGTTCAGCGTAACCAACCTCATTATATCACCAATAAATAAATCAACCTTACCTATCAAATACAGATACAATACAAAGTGCAAACATAAGGTAGTATATGGACTGCACTGGTTGGCCAAGTATTGCATAATGTAAAAGAAAGTCTGTGTTTCCATGTCCCAGTAATATATAAACAGTCACTATGTGCCAAATGGCGAATCCAGCTAGAATGCCATGGAGGAAAAGAGTGAAGGCCTTGAAGACACGATGGGTGGAGATAGCAAGTTGTATTGTAGTCTGACCAGGAGTCTCTATGACGTTACTTCGGGCTTGTTCTTGTTGTTCTGCTAGCCGTCGTGCAAGCTTGTGTTTATCTGTACTTTTAAAACCAGCTGAAAACATTTTAAAGTATTATGCCTTTGTTAGTTAGTTTGTACAAAAAATGTTTACATTTGCAATGTGAATTTGAATGATTTATAAAGTGGATAAACAGGATCCTAGAAACTAAGTTACTGACCCTCTACCCTTTCAAATACTTTTCTAAATAGTCCTGCATGAAGATGTTGTGTAACTCTCCACAAAAACACACAAATTGGGAAAGTAGGTAATAGGGGAGGGGCAAAGACATGATACAAAACTATTTTCCTATAAAAGTCATACTTTTCTGTTCTATAAACAGTCTACCAACAGGTTGACTCTTGAGCTGTGGTGCCGTATAACGTACATCTCTCTCATCATCATCGTCATCTTCATCGTGGTCTTCAGTCTTTGTGATGATGTCATCATTTATTGCTGAGAGTTCTGCAGCAAGTGCATTGTCTTCATACTCATCTGGTTCATTTGAACTGGAAGAAAAATATTAATTAAGGTCAATAGAGGGTTGAAATTGTTATCGAAGATTGTTAATGCTAAAAAATGTTTGTCCAGTCTCTCTTGGTGAACTCTGTAGATACAATAGTATAAAATTTGGCATTTGTAGTGATGTAACAATTTGATGTAACAAAAAAGTAGATAAGTAAAGTTGCATTATGTACCGCTATCTTTGGTCTACTTTGGGCCAGGATATTTAACTTAGATCTGGTATATGAAGGGGGAGGGGTACATTCTCACTAACTATCAGAATGATATTTTGGAAACAAATGGACCTATAATTTTTGACTGTCAATGTCAATAATAATCATTTTTTAACTAATGTTTTTCTAACCCAATGTTTAAGAATATGTATTAACTACCACACATTGGGAGATTTTTCAGTATAATGGCAGTCCTTTTCAGCTTTCTCAATCACTATCCAATTCAGTATATATATTTAATTTGAGCTTAATTCTTACCCATCTGGCTTCTTCCGTTTCTTTCTTTTCTTTTTGGTTGTTGGGTCTGCCTTGGACTCTGTAACAGTATCATCTACTAATGTCTCTCTGCTGCCAGATACATTCTGAAATTGATGGATGTTATTATTAGACAATCTAGATATTTACATGTGTACTATACAAAAAGATCCAAATGGCCAAATCAAATTACTACAGATATCATTACATAACATTTAGGTAGTATCATTCATTGGACATGCATATTTAGTATTTACCCCCATGAATGTGGGGATGTTTTGCCTTTTTCGTAATCAATCACTCTATTGCATAGAGAAAAGTGTTTTGTAAAAGAAAACAAGAGATTTGGTAAGGAAAATGCTGATATAAGACCTGATTTTCATCTTCAATTCATCAAGGCATCCAACTAAAACAAAATGGCGGACAATAGGAAAAATTTCAAGATCCAGATATATATGCTGAAAAAAGGCAGATGAAGCATTGTCTCCAGTAATCAATCTCTTATTACATTGGTAAAAGTGTTTTGTCAAAGAAAACAAGAGAATAGGTAAGGAAACTGCTGACATAGTCCTGATTTTCATCTTCAATTCATCAAGGTATCCAACAACACAATTTGGAATAGGTTTCAGCTGTGGGTGGGGTTTGCCTTATCAAAGTCAAAAATTAGAAAAAAGCAAACCGAACGAGATTTATGGGGGTATGCATATTCATCAACAACAACTTGACCGTGTACAGATAGTATCCCTTCATGTGTATTCCTTAAAAAAATACAGTTGTTAAGGTGTCATGGTACTTAAAAGGGGGGCCTTAACTCCTTCATCACTGAAAATTTTGGGGAAAATGGAAAGAAATGAAAAACTGAAATGTAAATGAATCTAGAAGCAAGAAATAGAAGCAACACCCAATAAGTTATATGTCATTTTGAAGGGCTATACCCATACTTTATTACCCTTTGCAATCGTTTGACTTCACTTCTTAAAAGAGAGCTTCGTCTTCACTCTTTCAAACTAAAATAAACCTGTGAACTCACCGCGCCAATCAGTGTTCGTCGGCCAAATTTGACCGACGTTCTATATATGGTCATTCTTCTGACGTCATCGTTGAGCCCGAAATTGACCAATGACACGCGCATATTTAATCAGAACACATTTGGCGTATGTTTCTTTAAGCTCGCTGATTGGTGGAACAAAAGGTTAGCGCGTAGGTCAAAAGTGATTTATTACCCAAACTCTCACTGGTACCCGTCGTGGGGGCGGGGTTACTAAACTGTAATATGGTCTCTACTAGGCAGAGTGTAGTTTAACTAGACTCTGCATGCAGGGTAATACTTTATGTTTTTTGAAAAAAAATATGAATATGCAAATGAGATAGTGTCATTGTGACGTCATAATTCAAGATGGCGCAGTTGGATTTTTTTCAAAATGGAATTATTTTAGCATTTAATTTTTTATTGAGACTTCAATTTAAAAATCTGAAAACACAGAATTATAGATCTTCTTATGCTGATTTCAGTGGTATTTGTACTATGACATAACTCCTACAAATAAATTTTTTAGAGCTTCGAGACTGCAAATTCTCGGAAAATCCCTATGGCGATTTAACATGGGATTTTATCGTTTTCGATACTTTTTCGCGACATGTCAGATTCAAGTGCCTCTAACTTTGCACAGAGTCATCAGATTCAAACAATCTTTTTTTAAAAATGTTCCTACTGGTCCATTCTTTTAGAAAATGCATTATTCTTGCAGTTTTAGAATAGCAAAAACCAAAATCATATATGATCGATTTTGTTCTAAGGGGTCTCCAAGGGACCCCTGATGATAAAAATGCATGATTTATCAATTTATTTAATCCTGAAGTCTGTGCAAACATTTTAAAAAAAAGTTCATGACTTTTCGTTAAGTATTTACAAAGTTACAGTGATCCGAAGCTGGTGAGCGCGCGAAAAATTGCGAAAACGTTAAAATCCCATGTTAAATCGCCATAGGGATCTTCCGAGAATTTGCAGTCTCGAAGCTCTAAAAAATTTATTTGTAGGAGTTATGTCATGGTATAAATACCACTGAAATCAGCATAAGAAGATCTTTAATTCTGCGTTTCCAGATTTTTAAATTGAAGTCTCAATAAAAAATAAATGCTAAAATAATTATATTTTGAAAAAAATCCTACTGCGCCATCTTGAATTATGACGTCACAATGACACTATCTCATTTGCATATTCACATTTTTTTCAAAAAACATAAAGTATGGGTATAGCCCTCAAAATGACATATAACTTATTGGGTGTTGCTTCCTTTTCTTGCTTCTAGATTCATTTACATTTCAGTTTTTCATTTCTTTCCATTTTCCCCAAAACAGAAGTGACAAAACATGCTGCATTTTTAGATGTTTTCTGAACAAAGATGGCAGAATTCTGTTTTGACCTCCAGTCAATTCAACTAGTTCCACATATCATTTACAGGACCAGGATCACAATATACATGGTCAGAATGACCCTAATAAACATGATGAAATAACTTTTCAGCCCTCTAAAAATGTGACTGAAAAAAGCTAAAAGCAGGAGCTTAGGAAAGGTCACTGAACAGAATATTCTGAATTTTTCTGAAAATGTGCCTAATATAAACAATCAGAAGAATTACATTTTTTAAAGTAGGTCAAATTTTTAGAAGGGTAAACTTCCTGGGAATTTTAAGATTGTTACGTCTTGTATGAGACTGAAAACGTGACCTTGTGCCAATTTAGGAAACAATATTTTCTATCTACGTCGATTACAAAGCATCTAAGGTACGGAAATCTATATGAACAACTTAGTCAAAAGGGATAAATAGCCCAACGAGAGTCAGCGGTCTTGAAAAATACTTGAATCTTGTTTCCAGTCTTCTAAAAATTTGGAATCCCAATCTCCTTTCGACAGAACACTCTCATCATATGTGATTTATTCGAAAACATCTTTTTGAGACTGGATAACTGCAATAAGTTTACTTCCTGCGAAAGCTATTTGGATTTTGATATAATAGCTTTCCCACGGAGCATTTGGACAGCTCAGTGATCGTGACCTTTGAAATCGAATTAAGTAGATCCGCGGCTTACTTTTGGTCTCTAACTGTGTCTTACATCAGTATCATCAATCCGTGTAAGTATTGGAGCGCTGGAGTACTTCTTTTTCGATCAAGACTTGTAATTGTTAGGTCGAGTGAATCGTTTTACTGCCAAATTCCAATATGGCGGTTTCTGCTCGGACATTTTCGTAAATCTCCGGAGGTTGTCCGAACCTAACTAATTCTCAAAATTCATTTCGTTCGTTGCGTATCTCGCACCTAGCAAACCGCCATATTGGAAATAGGTCTGTAAAACTTTAACTCGATGAACAATTTACAAGTCTTGATCGAAAAAGAAGTACTCCAGCGCTCCAATACTTACACGGATTGATGATACTGATGTAAGACACAGTTAGAGACCAAAAGTAAGCCGCGGATCGACTTAATTCAGTTTCAAAGGTCACTATTGATCAGCTGTTCACTTCTCCGTTTGAGAGCCATAAGTTTCAAAATCTAACATGGCTCTCGAAGTGAGTAACAATAAGTCAAATTCTCTTTCCAAATCTAGGTTAGACTACCTGCTTCGGTTTCCGTCCTGATCTCCTATCTTTCCTTGTTGCTGATGATGGTGTTGCTGGTTGAGATTCTTCACCTCCGTCATCTCCAGTTGTATCCTTCACTCTTTTCCTTCTATTTTTAGAGGGAGTGCTGGGTGAATCAAGTGTTCCTTCAGCTCCAGAAATTCTTTCTCGAGACCTACTTCTGCGACGAACTGATCTAACAGAATCCTGACCACTCTCTTCCCCATCTATCCTCTTCTTTTTCTTCTTCTTACGTGGAGTTACATCTTCTGCCTCGGATGCTCTTTGGGAGGCTACACTTGGGGAGAGAGGCGGTAATTTTCGCGCTTTTGGTTTTGGAATTTCATCCGCCATTTGTAAACAATTTTCTTGCCAAGAACTATCTTGCTATAGCGAAATTTGAACTATGATTCCTCCCAAATCAATAAAGTAATGAACGGGCAAAACAATTTCAAATACCAGCTGGTCATACTGTGTAACATCAGAAACACAAATATGAACATGAATTCAATACAAACGACCAAATATTGAAGATTCAAAATTAAAATAATGTTTTCGTTCAGTGTGTTTTCTAATCTATTGTTGCGCATGCGTGGACATTTTAATGAAGTTCTGAAAATCGAAGAGAAATTTCAACAGTTATTTGTGTTTTGAGATCATACTAGCTATACTATGAAGTAAATACCGGTAAGTCATGATATTTAGCTATGTTTTTTACAAGAATATGTATAAATGTGTAGTACTTATTGATTGAATTCCCAGCATTTTTGATGTGAATTTGGATGAACATTTTTTTCTGAAGATTTTTTAATTTTTCCTGATTTTTATTTTTTTTGGCAATTCAGTCTCAAGTGAATATCCAGTGTTTACAGGATAAAGGTTTATACTGGATTAGATATGCATTGGTATCCTCAGATTTTGAGTTGACAACTTTCTTGAATCCTAGTCATATTTACTAGTCTTAGAGTCTAGCAAGAAGTTAGCCTTTTTTATTCTGGGAAGCTTCATATGGGTAAATATATGTTTTCGGAACCCCGACCGACCCTCCCTTGAGACCCCCGACCGTAAAACATTTTTCAGAATTTGAAAATAAAATACTCAAAACGTGACCAGAATAGAAGAATATAAAGTCACCTACCTTAGAGAAGAACAATTTGAAGTAAAATAGCCAGATAATCATCAGTATTTAAGAAAAAAACACTGAATTTTGCCGTGAGCAAGCAGGAAGTTAGCTACTCAGAGCTAACAATTTTGGTATTTTGTATTGATCGCACTGCCATCTTTATGACTAAGTCTTATGAAAAACTTTTGAAGTCCGAATTCATTTATAACAACCAGACACCTGTCTAGAACTCCTTCATACATTTGAATAATATTATTGATTCCTTTATTTGTTCATCCTCATTAGATTAATTTTAAAGAGGTTCAATTCAAAAGATGCTCTATTTTTAAAATATTGATCTCTCCAAACTCTGAAATAAAAGCTTCTTGGATTCAATTCAAAAGATGCACAAAAACAAAGTTTCCCTTTTAAAATACTGATTCAGCGCTTGCATTAGGTTAGAAAATTTGTGAGTCCCAAGGACGCAATTTTTTTTAAAGAGTGTGTCCTTTGAAAAAAAGTCTGTCCCCTATTTCTAACCTGTTTTGAGGTATAACTTTATTTTAAAAGCGTTTTTTTACCAAAACACCTTGAAGTTAATTTTGTCACATGATTTTGATTTCTTGCTGCGAATTTAAAACGGAAGTAAACGTTAAGTACGGACTGAATAAATGCATGTTCGTTCATTCGACAATGAATACATTTTATTTCATGAATAACCTAATATTTGTTTCTGAATAGGAAACTGTGGCGTGTCATGGTTTCAAATCTAAAAATAAACAAAGTCGAAAAAATTCGAGAGAATCATGATTAAAGTGGGGGACAAAAATAAATCTCAACCCTCAAAAGTTGTCACAATGAGCTAAATTCTAAGTTTCATGTCTCAAACTCTCCCAAGTGGTAGAAAAATAATTCCCATCCACTTTAAGTAGCACAATAAATGAATCCAAAGCCTCATACCTGCAAATGATGGATAAATCCCTACCAAATCGGACTAATGTTTTCATGAATCGCCATGTTTGTGATCCAAGGAGGATTGACTCCCAGAATGCAACATCAAGTAACCTTATTTATTCGTGACGTATTTCAAAACGGCGGAATGGCATTTTGAAAGCTGACACGTGTCATGTTGCATTCTGGGAGCCAACCCACATTGCGGCGTAATCTGGCTCCAAAATCACCTCAACATTTGAAGAGTCGGCATTAACATGTGAATTCCACATCAAATTTTTAAGTTCTTATTTGTCATTATGGACACAAATTCCACTATATCTGGACTTACTATGACGGAGAAAATAGAGCACTGAATACACTGAGGTAAGAATTTATTACATATGCGACAACATGTAATTTCCATAGGTTTTGTAATTCTTTATGCCCCCCACTGTATTTGTAAATATTCAACATGTTGAGCCTTATTTACGATTCAAATAAAGGTGAGAGATCATAATTATTTTTTTGTTAGGTATCGTTGTAAACACATTGTTAAAAATTTTGCGTCCAAAAAACGGAAATATTTTCAATTTTTGCGTCCTCCAAATTATTTTTGAGTCCTTAACATGGACGCCGTTAATGCAAGCCCTGCTTATTTCTACACTCCAAAATAAAAGCTTGCAGGGTGATACATACTGTGGCAGATATAACAATATGTTTTTATTCCAGTGTTACAGATATTACATGCATATAATTCTAGTGTAACAGTTTATCAGCATGTTCTCCAACATACCCTCAAAAATTATGAATAAAATTTTGAATAAAAATAAAATATTTTTCCTACCTACCTACCCTAATCTGAAAATTCATTGAGCAGAAAACGGACATATATTTTTGTTTGGCCTAATCTAGTAAACATTCATGAATGCCAGCATATAGACTTTGTTGCGTCAGTTATTGAGCATAAACACAATATCAAAGAGATATTAAGTTAACTGTAAAATGAACTTGCTTTCTCATAAGTTCTGGAAAGGACGGGTGTCATTAAGGGCCCTTTTTAGCCCCCAAAGATATCTGATAATAATGCATATCATATTGAAGAAAAATCATTTGTGCTTTATAAAAATACAATTTCAGCGAATTTTGACCTTTGATGTTCACACAACAGTCATTTAAAGATCATATACCATTTTTGGTGTTTTTACAAAAAATTCTTTATTTATTGTTGTCTAAGTAAAACGTATATAAATATTAACCAATTTAAATATATTAAAATGTAATATATGAAATACTGAAGAAAAGATACGATTAAAATTATTTTCATGGAAAAGCACATAGGGCAATATTGACAAAATGCAAATGCTATTTTGGTAGGTTCTGGGCTAGCAATGGGTACATTTCAACTGTGACTGTAATGGATTACTATTGACTTTTATCAACACCACAGGGCAACATTTAAGCAACTTAAATACAAGGAAAATCAAAGATTTCCTCTCATTTCTAAAATGAGGAACAAAAGCATGAATTCAAGGAAAATAAATGATGGCCTGTGCCAAAATATATAACATATGAGAAAGTTGTAGCACAGTAAAGGATATGTATAGGATATCATATGATTTTAAATGATTTTATCTTTATGTCCGAATGATATCAATATCTTGCCAAGTTGGCATAGCGAATTAGCGCAGATATTGATATCAATGAGTTGGATTAACACAATATCACGAAAATTCATAGGATGTTCTATTTTTCCCATAGTTCACCTCTAAAACTAAACAAAGCATATCAAAACAACATCCATTCATTCATTCATCCCCGTGATGTCATGAAATCACTATGTAACAAAACACATCATATTGGTGGTAGTTTTCAAATCCCTGCCAAAAGGTAATATCTGTGAAATATTTTCCGTATTCCACAAATATCACTTTTTCCACGCATTTACAAAATATCATAAATATGTTTTCATGTTACCTAACAGAGTGGAACAGAGTTCAACTATGGGATAACGAATAAAAAATAGGTACATATTGAATTACCACTCCAAAAATATTAAATATGAGGGTTTAAAGAAAGAATATTGAATATGAGATTCAAAAAGACAAGTGGCCTCATGTCTCACATTACCCAAACCCCAGATCCTCGATGTCATATATACTTGTATACTGTATATCAATGTTATTTACTGGGAGGATTAAATATGGAGTGTATATAGCAATGATCAATACGATATTTCCAGATGGATATTTTTTCCCTAGAAGCGGAACCCAAACTCAGCCATGACATAGAAGCTAACTTTTGCAATTAATAGAAACTTGTTTTTTATTATATTTTTGTGTTCTATATTTGAGATGAAATAATATGAGATTCATTTCTACAAGAGGATGGAACGAATGTGAACTTGCATATTGAACTATACTCCTTTTCTGAATAAACAGAACAACATTTTATCCAAGCCAATTAAGAAAACCAAGGCCAATGTAATTTATGCCCAGTTAAACTATAACACAATAACAACTTTTTGTCTGGACTCACTTATTATGTACTAAGAATGAATTGTATTACTGTTTACTGCATTAAATGTCAAGTATACTATCTGTATTTAATTTCAAATGCCTATCTCACTTATCGAAGGTATACAAGAAATGTTATTTTGAAACAAATTCAGCACAACCAAAACCATGTCCACATAATATGACAAATCCAAGATGGCTGCCACAATTTTAGATCCATGTACATGTGAAGAAGTTAGAAATACACATGGTCCACAAGTTCCATCCCCAATAAAATGTGAAGTTTAAGGTTTTCATACATATCAACTCTATTCCTATATACTTTATATTTGTGGTAAGGCTTGTGATCTAGGTAAACTTAGCATGTTCATGTACCTCCTATCCTCTGAAGCTAAAAACAGAAATAGTGACTTCAATTGAGAAAAATGAATCTTATGGGCTCCATATACATTCTGAGTGGCTGTCCGGCTTAAGTTAGATACTACTGATAATCTGAGATTGAAAATTATGTCAAGTTTAGTCCTCAGCCTCTCATAACGGATAACTTCGAGGTAATTGTGTTGTTACTGCAAAAACCTCTATTTCTTCATCACAAATCTACCATCTTTTGCATCTGTCAAAACCCTTCATTTCATGTTAATTTTCAGACTTTTGCTTGTGCCATCATTAAATATATATATTCAACTTGTTATTCAGAATATTTTAAGAACTTTTCATGAATTTTTTTATCTTGACACTTTTGAAAAAATGACTAAGTCAAAGAATGGCCTCTTAATGGCATGTCCCCTTTTGATATGCAACATTGCCAAACATATGCAAAATTCAAATTTTTGTTTGCTTTATTTTGAGCAAGCATGGGCACATGTTATACTTAGTCATTTAAACTATGTTTTCACAATTATATGGCCGTGGGATCTTTGAAAGATGTCTGTTGAAAAACGAACCAGAAACAAACAAACCTTGTGCAGATTTTTATTCAAAAAATAGAAATTTGAAAAATGATTTACATTTATTTCTATCAGATACTATATTATCTCTAATAGGCACACATGCTCCAATAAACGCACACCCAACTTTTTCATGAAAGACTCTGTCAACCTGAGTAACAAAAATCACGAGAAAAATAAAAAATCGAAAAAAGGCATTGAGCGACAATAAGATGAATTCAATTAATTAACTTACCGCTATCGATTGAGTCATTTCTGTGCACAATGCTGTTACAGACTTGTCTCCAAAACCTTTAGAGCTATAAGTACATTCAGGACCCGGGATTCAGGATAACCTTCTAGTGATGAGTTAAAAGCCATAATGAGCGCTAAATCTGACTGAAGCCATTTGACACTCGCAATGCATCATGGGAGCTTCAGATCCAAAAATATATTTGCACCTTTTCCCCCACATACAGAAATATTCATTCATTTCTAAATGTGAGGTAGTATTATGTAAATATAAAACATACTTTCTCTGACTATGAAGGCTGGTCAGAAACAGAAAACCTTTGGATTTTGACTGGCGTATCGGTGCCAGTTTCCAAAGTGGCAGCCCGGAAAGATGAGAGAGGGAATGTGACACACATATGTCAATTTACCCATGAAATTAAATTCAGCAGGTCGATAAATGCATGAGGAAAACATCGAGTTATGATACTATTTTATCTAGTCGGAGTTAGTCCAGTTTTAAAGGGAGAATTTGTGTAGACACATTGTGAGTTTATTAGAGAGAATACGGTATACTTCATGTCCATGATCAGTAAAATAAAGCTGATAAAGTTGCATTTAGTTTTATAGAAATGCCAAGTTGTAACCGATTCAAACGAATTTGTACAGTCTGTGTTTGTCTTTGTACAGTCTGTTCGCCATTTAGACTTAAGGAAATAGGTTTGAATTCAAATCACTATCTTCTAAATTACCTCAAAAGAATTTCCAGCTTTTTCTCTCTCTCTCTGTGGAATGTAGCAGGGCTCTGAATTTGAAATCTAATAAGAATTCAGACTTTCTTATCATCCCTCATTTACTTGTGGAGCCATATGACAGTCTCGCACTCACAGGTATCCCATATATTTATAAGTAGTAGTTTTGGCACTTATTACAGATTTAAAATTTAAATAACATACACTTGATATATATGAGCCATTTAAAGATTTGGTTTGATTTGGTCAATTCCTCATTGTCAGAAAATAGCGTTTTGGTTTTTGATTGGGGGTTTTACCAATAATGATCAAGTCATTAGTTTGCTGCAGCTGCACTGGGAGGAGTGATTTTATACTCTCTACAAATCATTTCTAGTTCCCTGAGCTACATCTTGGTGACTCTCACTGAAATGCACTAATACAGTATTGTTTTTCTACCAATATTAGTTAGTTTGGTCTAGTTTTAGTTGTTTTATATATTGTACATTTCAGTGACTATTATGCCATTGTTATGACATCCGAGAGTCATTAAAAGTCACATACAGTATTTCTCTGTCTAACCTCTTCTGGTAGGCTATCTATATGTTAATTCTTTACCATTGTATTTAGCCTGCCACATATATACTTACAGGTATAGCAACATGCCTAGTATGAAGCCAAAGAAGGAGTCTGAGTCTGTCAAGGTGGTGGTTCGATGCAGACCTCTCAATGAAAAAGAAAAATCACAAGGACATTCAAAGTAAGTAGTTTTTCCAAAATAAGAACTTTCCAAACAATGGAGAGATTTCACAACTCACTTATAGCATGTTTATTATTCCCGCAGCTCTATATATCCATAAGTGTGATATTTTTTATATATAGACGATGATTTATAAGATTCATGATTTATGCTATAAGTGAGTTGCGAAATCTCTCTATTACTTTTTGACCTCACATTTCAACTTGTATATTCCAAGAGAATGTCTGCACTGAAAATTTAAAAGCAACAATTCATGAAAATATAGGTCACAATGAATATATTATTTCTGGAGACATGAACTGTGTAGTATGTAACAAATTAGATGTTATTTCAGGGCAAAAACATAATGAGGTAGTTGTTGGGAAATTCAATGAAATGATAAATACATGCAAAATAGTTGATACATGGAGGTCACAACATGATAATGAAAAAGAATTCACTTGGTGTAAACAAAACCCGTTTATTGCTCGAAGGCTCGATTATATCTTTTCCACTGAAAAATTAGCTCGAAAGATAGATAATGTTCAATTAGGGCAGTGCTTACAATCTGATCACCGCCCAGTGATAACAGACTTTAAGTTGAATACAACCAAACGCGGTCCCGGAGTGTGGAAACTGAACAATGATATTTTAAATGATCAAGAGTATGTTCGGAAAATTAATGACTGTATTGTAGAAATGAATGAAAAATATCAACATGTTGTCAACCCTCAAATATTGTGGGATTCCATTAAGTGTGAAATAAGAAACATCTCCATTAATTATTCAAAAAGAAAAGCACAATTGAAGAAACAGAATACAAACAATTTGAATACTGAACTTAAAGCTGCATGTAGTAAACTAGCTAGGGTGCCAAATGATGAAAACCAAAAACAAGTTCAATCACTACAGATGAAACTAGATCTTGAAAATGTCTCACAAGCAAAAGGCGCACAACTTAGGTCAAAGATTGATTGGATTCAACAGGGCGAGAAAAATACAAAATATTTTTTAACACTTGAGAAATTTAGAGCTAAAATGAAGACAATTGACTGTATCGAAAAAGACGATGGTACAAAAAGCGATTCAATTGATTGTGTAATGCAAAATTTATATGAATACTATTGTAATTTGTATGCTGAAAATGATGATGTTACTTATTCACTTGATGATTTTATTCATGACATTGAAATCCCACATTTAAATGATGAAGAAAAGTCTTATTGTGAGGGAAAAATTAATGATATTGAATGTAAGGAAGTCCTTAAGAATATGAAAAACACATCAAGTCCAGGTATAGATGGACTCACTGCCGCTTTCTATAAAATGTTCTGGATCAAAATAAAACATCTTGTTGTTAATTCTTTAAATTTTGGTTTTGAAATAGGTCAATTGTCCAGCTCGCAACGAAAAGGAATGATAATACTATTGCTCAAAGGGAAAATGTTAAACTCTGCCAAAGTCAAAAACTGTAGACCAATTGCTCTCACTTGTGTTGATTATAAAATTGGGGCAGCAGCACTTGCCAAACGGTTGCAAAAGGTTATTATAAAACTCATAAATTCTGATCAAACAGCATACCTTAAAGGAAGAGGGTCACATTTTAACTTGAAAATTATTGATGATCTAATTAACTATATTGATTTTGAAAATGAAACGGGTATTATAATAGCATTAGACTATGCAAAAGCTTTTGATTCAATTTCTAAGAAATATGTCATGAAAATGTTGAAAGTATATAATTTTGGTGAAGATTTTATAAGATGGATTGATGTTTTTAACAAAAATGCAGTGTCAGCTATTTCAAATAATGGATACCTCAGTAGTTGGGTACCTTTAGAACAAGGTCTGAGACAGGGCTGTCCTCTGAGTGCAATTTTATTTATAATGGCAACAGAAATATTTTCTTGTAAAATAAGGCAAAATAAAGACATTGAAGGTATATGTTTAAAGGATAAACAAAAAACAGAAATAAAATTAACTTCTTATGCAGATGATACCACATTATTTTTAAGGACAAAAGATTCAATTCCAATTTTGTTAAATGAGATAACTGCATTTTATAAAGTATCAGGCCTTAAACTAAACATGGAAAAAACTCAAGCAATGTGGTTGGGGAGAAGTAAAACAAAAACAGAAAAACCATTTCATCTTAACTGGAAAATTGGTAAAGATCAAAAAATTAAAATATTAGGAGCTTATTTTAGCAATTCAGGTTCATCTTCTGACCTCGACGAAAATTGGCAGCCAAAAATTGAAAAAATCAAGTGTCTCATTCAATCATGGAACAAAAGAAATCTATCACTGTTTGGAAAAGTAACAGTCATTAAAAGTTTAATGGCTTCCCAAATCACTCATATGTTAATGGTATTTAAAGCTCCGCAGAAATACTTAGATGAAATTAATCATATATTGCATAGATTCTTATGGCAGACTGTGGAAAAAGTAAAAAGAAATGTAATTAGGCAGGATATTTTAAATGGAGGCTTAAATATGATAGATATCAATTTATATCAAACTTCCCTTATTTTAACCTGGATAAAAAGACTATATGACAATGAAATTGATCAAAAATGGAAAGCAATTATGAATTTTTATTTGAGTAAAATGGGACATTCTCAAAATTTGTTCAAGTACAATTGTGAATATAAAGACTTAAAAGTACACAAAAATATTCCAACATTTTACTCGTTCTTATCCAAATCATGGCTGAACAATAAAACTGTAAATATCTCTAAAAACATTTGTACTAATGATTACTTATGGAATAACAGGAGTTTATGTTACCAAAATAAACAATTACATTTTAAATCATGGGAAAATGCTGGAATAAAATTTATCTCAGATGTGATTGATAAAGGTACAGGAAAAATAAAAAATGCAGATGTATTAAAGGAAAAAATTGGGAGAAATCCTAACTTTTTCATTGAATACAATATGCTCCGACAAAGCCTCTTAAGAGTGATTGTAAAACAAGATGATGAAAACACTAAAACTACATTCAATGAAATTGATGTAAATAAAGCAAATGCTCAAATGATCAGAAAGTCTTTATTGAAACGTAAATTGGAAACTCCAATCAGTGAAAGAGGCTGGAATGATTCATATAATCAGTTATGTTGGAAAGACATTTGGCTTAATGTTCGAAATATTAAAGAACCAATGTTAAAATCACTTCAATTTAAAATATTGCACAGAATATATCCAACTAAAGTTTTGCTATTCAAAATGAAAATTAAAAATGATGAACTTTGTAATTTCTGTGCCTGTAAGGACACATATGAGCATTTCTTTATAGAATGTAGAAAAATAAAACGAATCTGGGAAATAATAGATAACACATGCTTCCTCAAATTGAAAAGAAAAATAGAATTTAAGCACGATATTATTTTTGGATATAAGGACGAGGACAAAAGGGTTGAAAGGAAAATTAATCTTATGTTAATGGTTGGAAAACATGTGATTAGCAAATACAAATGTGGTCTATATAGTTATAATGTTGAATGTATGTTGGAACATGAAATGAGACTAAGAAACTTATAATATTGTAAAATTGTTATAATGATCGTATGGTTGATGATTGATATTGATTTACGATATATATATTATGTAATATGAATATGTAATGATGAAATAAAAAAAAGAAATAAATAAAAAAAATAAAATAAAAAAAATAAAAAAAATAAAAAATAAAAAAAAGAATGTCTGCACGGACTTTGTATTTTTCTGTTTCCTTGCACAATTGATGATATCACATATTCTTAAGTTTATGGCATATACTAATGATGAAGCAAACTTAATTCAACAATTATTCAAATATAATTAACATGATATTGCAAATGTATCAAAGCATACATGTGCTTTTAATGATTGCTCACAATAATTTCAAAATTCTGAAAATCTGTTAAGTGTTCTATGATTTTTCACCATCAATATACCATATATGGTATAAGTAATATTTTATTGTGCTTTTCAGAAATATATTTCCATTGCTTTGTGGCAATTGAAGATGATTGATGTATGAGTGAAACAATTTAGCTGTAGAAACATTACTTATAATTGATCATGTTGTATATATTTACAATAACAAACCAGGTTGTGACATATTGTCATGTTCACACCTTGTTTTTCAGATGTGTCACCATGAATTTAAAGAAAGGAACTATAGAAGTGTCCAATGTAAAAGCACCCAATGATCCACCAAAAACTTTCACATTTGACTCAGTCTACGATACAGAGTAAGTATAAAATTGGTTTGGTTTTAGTCTAGTGGCTAGTTCCAGAGAAATTTGGATACACAAGTTCAGTCATTTATTTGGGCTGAGTGATAGTCTGATTTAGAAGAAAACAATATGAAGTATATTGTCTGTTGACTACTTAGTGCCCAATTCCAAGAAAATTGCACTAATTCAGATTGGCCCATGCAGCTGAATTGATGTCAGTTGATGTTTCGTTATCATTGTAAACAGGTGAACATCTCTCCATTAAAAAAAGATGATTGAATGATATATGCTATGATTTATTTGAGTATCAAAAAACTAGAAGTATACTTATATCTGTGGAATGTAACCTTTTTACCTTAGTAAATATGTTTCACCGATTTTACTGGACCCATGATATTTTCATTTTCTCATTTTTCAAATCCAATTCATTAATTAGATGTTTATGTTAATGTAATTTGAAGATTTACAAAACATACCAGATAAGATTTTTTTCAGTAATGTTGTCCAAAAACTTTTTTCCTTGAATATTAAGCCTGGATTTTTTGGAAGAAGTAAGGGAATACCTGTGCATCTTTCACAAGTCGTTTTTCCAGATGCCTGGAGGAAAAGGGGAATATTACTTTTGAAATTGACACAGTTATTTATCATTCTGATACTCAGACCATCTCTGCTATGTACAAGAATGCTCTGATATACTTTGCACTGATTGCCGATCGAATGGGCAGGGCCTAGATTTATAATGATATTAATATATTCAATGACGTCAGAATTCTAACCAATCACAGTTGATTAATTTCTAAAATTAGAAAATATACCTTTTCCCCACAATGTTATACATGATTTGTAGTTCACTACAACCATGGTGCTTTAAAGTTATATATAACCGAGTTTCTTGGCAATCCATGCGTTTAAACCCGACTTATTTGAAGTTGAATTTATGAAACGAAAATGACGCCCGACATGACCTACATATTTTTTTCACTTTTAAAGATTTCTCTAACCTGTTGATCCTCGAGGGGTAAATATCTACTCACATCACGTCTTTATCTCATTTTCTACACAAGTAGTCGATACCTAGTCCGTTTTCCATCAATTCGATCGTGTATTTAACAAGGGTCGCGAGTAAATCTCAGGCACGACATGGAAATCTGAAATTATAGAGGGCGCATATTCATTTTACACACGGCGAAATAAAATGAGATTTCCCGGGAAATTTTGGACAATACTAGTATATTAATAGTCTATTGTACATTGTACAACCACATTTGACCAGCACGATCACAAATCACATAGGGACCAATTAATATGATCTAAAACAATCAACCACGTATTGACCGAGCTTAGTAAAGAAAGAATATCAAGGTAAATCACTTATGATCAGGAACAATCACCTAAACCAGGGACAATCAACTAAGATTAGAACAATTGAGTACAATCACAGTATCAAAACAAAATATTAAGAATCACAACCAAACAATTGCCCAGAAGAGTCAAGAAAAATTTAAAGTAATAAAAACAATCACTTAAGATTAAGAACAATCACCTGTAAAATTGTTTAGGATCGACCCAATCCCTAAGGATCAAGACAGATACCAAAGATCAAGATCATGAGGATATTTCTAAGGATCAAAAACATTATCACTTAAGATCAATAACAATCACCTAGGATCAAGATCCCCGATCAAGATTAATCACTTAGAATTAAGAACACCAAGGGCTCAGAAGAAATTTTTGGATCGGGAAAAATCACTTAGTGTGCTGTTAATGGGTTCAATAATGTAACTTAAAAGTCCAATATAAGATGAGATATAATGCATTTTTATTTGAGACATAAATACTATAACTTGACAGACATCTAGCAGCCCCTCGGCTATTGGCTAAAACACATCACGTGGTACAAAAGTAGGTCGAATTTGTGTAGTCCCGCCATATTTAGACAGACTTCCGGTACAAGTGCACTTGGATTTGCGCCCTCTATAATTTTAGATTTCCATGTCGTGCCTGAGATTTACTCGCGTTCATTTAACAAGTTTAGAAAAATCCTTTTTTCCTAACGAGGTACCATTATCGTTCGGTCTATCTTTCTAACACTTCCGGGATCATCGTGGTAGCACAAACTCTTCCCGCTTCCAGTTTTAGTACTAAGGAATACACCCTGTTTATTTTCTATCAATGGTATACACTTCTCTTGAATATATAAGCGCAAATACCAAAAGGGAAGGGTACGTGATCAAAAACTTTAAACCTGCACATCGCTCCAAAATGCAATATGTTGACATATTATATTGTTTTTACATTTTCAAGCTCTAATATAAAGTTTATGTAAATAAAAAAAAAATTTCTGCGTAATATCAAAGAACAATCATTTAGTTAAAACAAAGTAAAAAGGGTGATGTCGGGATTCGAACTCGGGCCTACAGCGTGTTAAGCGAGGATTCTACCACAAGACCACGAGTCCCTATGAAATAATCATATGTAATTTAACGCTACTTATTTAAAACTGAGCGATCTGATTGGTGGAGTTCTTACACCCGCCACTCACTGTCACATGACCTGTAAATACGGATTTGATTCGTCATATCACTTTGGCCGAAATCTGGACGGGCCACGCCCCCATCAGATCGAAGGCTATTGCCAAGTAACTCAAGGCATTCTAGAAGGACACTGAGAGAAGGCTGTGATATCTCACGATGGTTATTTATAATGAAAAATAGAACACAATGTCATGTTTTATACAAACACGTTTAGTGGGCGATACAAATGGCACAATATACAGAACATAAAATTTTCAAAGTTTATTCATTTCCACCGGAAGTCCCAAGCATGTGCGAGAGCGTGCGCATCTCTCACATTTCACATAGTGTTACAATGAACGAAAATATATTAACAATTATAAATTGTAACATGAACATAGACGATAACATGACACACAATACGAGTATTTGATAAATCATTCATGAAACATGATGGTAAATCGCCTTGTTCAAGAGGAGGGATATTCAAAATAGAGTCTTCAAAACAAATTTCTTCATCGATCTACCAATGAACAGTGAGCATCACATCCAATCACATAAAAAATAACATGGAAATAAAGACACATACATTATGTTTAAATACCTCCCATCTAATCATGAATTGTCTAAAAGATTGTGAGATGTGAAGCATTGATATTTTATAAGTTAATTCATCTTATTTCTGTTTCTATGCATGGACACCTTGACATTTTCTTATTATGTGATTCATCACTAGCAATATACAACCAAAAGAGTCAATAAAAGATATTCACATATTTTACTAGGTATTAATATAGAACTACAACTCTGTATACTGCTCTAAAGCTTACTCATTCATTTCATGCCATTTTTTATTGATCAAAAATCTCTTCAAAATTATCATTCGATAACTGAATATGAAATATATCATAAAACACATGTTCCTTTTCAATTTTCAAAGATATTTGGCTCATACATTGAAATACATTCATTGTTACTTCACACAAAAAACACGAACCATTGTTACTTAGATTTGGAGCTTGTTAACAAATTTATTGCCCTGCCCCACCTCTTCAGATGAATGACCTTTGCTAGAGGTGCTACATATCTTATGAAATATATTAGAAATAACCATATTGCTGCCTTACTGGATAGGCTCGGAAATTATATTAGTCTCTCTATACCCTATCTAATGTTAAGCCCATTATAAACAAGGTTGTGACTAAGCATATTAGGGGAAGTATTGGCATTTGGATGCAGTTCATTTATCATTTAGCTCAACCAATTTCAAGGGGTATATGGCTATGCTCAGTTTTCCAAATTTCAGTGCACTATGCATATCAGGCTGTCCCTGTTGAAGCAAATGGGTGCTGTAAGATGTACCCACTTGAGGATTAGAATAATGGATGGTACCCACCTCAATACCCATTCGCAACTACTCAAGGCATTGTACTCAAGGCATTGTACTCAATGCATAATTCAAACATGAGAATACAATCTTGGCACAAATTTAAACATGAGAATTTTGCATCCAATCTAAAAATCCTGAAATGAAAAACCTTGACATCTAAGGCTCCTTGTCAATTAGATTATTGTTGGGAAGATGGATATATTGAAATTGTGTTCTTTTAGTGATATTGGTTCTTTTGAATGATTTTGTAGAAAAAATTGCAATGTGTGAAAAGAATTTAAACCCAAGACTCAATGCATTGTAGCTGCTTCATTCCACTCAGGCATTGTTTCCTAAACTTTGCAGCCGCTGCACGGTCATGCAAAGGTTTGGAAACAACAGCTTCATGGTATGATTCAGCAAACAATGCACTGAGTCCAGGGCTTAAATCCTTAAGTATACTATTAATATGCTAGATATACAGTTTCTATCTGTTATTTTTTATTGCATAACCAAAATAAATCTGACTTGTCTTTTTTGAATGACACTTACAGGGGAGGGGGATGCCTTAGATGTGACTAAAATATTGAAGGTATCAGTGAAGGGATTAGAATTATTTCACTTGGGTGCTGAAAAGATTTCAAAAGTATTCAGATTTACAATTTCCCAAATTTATAATTATTTTCCCAATTCTCAACTTAGTGTAATAATAAGTTGATTTTTAATTGGGTGTAGGGATATCTCAACTGGGATTACTTGCATTTTAAAACAATATCATGATATAACAATACAAAAAATGGTTTTTATCTAAGTAATGATGATGCTAAAATAATGTATAAATGTCATCAGTTATACTTAGCCCAAAGGTTTTTAGCTACATTCTATAGACAACTTTTTGTACATGTACTATATCTGCCCCTAATATAAAAAGCCTTTAACCATTTTTTGCTTTAGAGAAAAAAAGGGTAAATACAGGGCTTGACAAAAGACTGGACGATCAACTTTCAATGGTGCATAACATTTCACATAAACTTTCTCCTATGGCATATAAGCCACCTTTATGTTTACCAGCCATAGAAACACAATTAGTAGATATCCATATGGGGAATGATAGAAATATCTAATCTGAAGCCTAAATCCTACAGGTCTCTTTTATTGGGGAGAAATCATGATTGTTACATTGGCTGGGTTGATTCATGAGATATTGATCCACTGGTGTAAATGATACCAATAGGGCACTGTATATCACATACCCATAAATTTTCTTTGCTAAATATGAATTTTGATTCTTTACCTTGTGTTCCTTTAAATTGCAATGCAATGATATACATATTAAACAAGGTCATGTAAAACATAAATCTAACCATTTAGGGATCTCAGGGGTTGTCATCCTGGCTAAGAGGAGACAATGGGATCAATTTAATGTCTCAACTAATTGTGGCATCTCAAATTTTCAACAAATTGACTCTGTCACAGGTGCTTTTTATAATTTTCATGACACTGTCTTCTAGATTTAATGCCTAAAATGGCCTTTATGTTTAAGGTACTCTAGTCTATGGCATCATACCAATCAATTAATATTCTGATCTTTAGAATAAGCCTCATGAATTCAAGAGAAGGTAGTAATCTTACTCCATGCTATAACACTATTGCTTTTATAAATAGGTCATAAGAGCAAGCCACGTGGATTTAAGAATAACCAAAAACATTCTTTGATATGGCTATTATGGTCATCAAATGCCTCTCATTCTAACTGCTGGGTCACCGCAAACTCTTGTAATAATCAATACCATATTGCTATTCCAAGCATGGAAGAGACAATGCAGTCCAGTGAATCATGCACATTTTCAAATGCCTATATTTGCGTTTTTGTTTTTGATGAATAGCTTTTGTTTCTAAACTTAAAAGGGTGACATGAAATACATATTTCATGTGCATTTCTCAGTCTTTAGATACATATATGGGAGTGGGGTAGGGGCATGACCATCCACAATTAATTACTGTAGATCAGATCTTGAGAAGACTTGAGAAAATATTCCTGGGGTTGATCATGAACCTGTTTTAGAATTGTTTATCTGATAATTCTCACTTTGACCTTTTAGGCTTTGATAGGCAAGAAAATAAATATCTGAGCCCATTACAAAAATAATTCTAGTTGAGATCAGGAACGTTGATAGAACCTACATAGAATCTAGTGCTTCACCCCTAATAAAGGCTGTTGCTCATACAATTACTAGGATTAAGTTTGAGTTGACATGTGAGCTGCATCTATTAGCATGAAAGAAGAGCTTCTAAAGAATATTTGATTTGATTTCATGCCAGTTGTGCTACATAGATTGGCATAGATTGCTATAACCACTAAATCTGCTTCATATATTTCCCTTGGGTCACACTTGTTAGATTCAGTTTTTGAAGTGTTGACTTGAACAGAATGAGTCAGCGTCAGCATAAACATTTTGCCAACTACTTGTACTAGTATTACCCACACAAGCTTTACAGTATAATAAAGCCCTAGCATCCCAATGTGAATTATCTGTATGCTAACTTTAGTAAAACATCTATAAATAAACACCTTTGAAGAACACATCTGAATAACAAACACTTTTTAGACGCCTAACTGGTCCCGTAACTCTCATATTATTATTAAGCTAGCTGATCCCAGCCATTTACTAAGACAGGTTTTTCCTGAACTTACAACAAATTGCTTTTATGTATATGATGATAATGTTCATTATTACAACTACCAATACTTAATTAACTATTAACAATAGGTCATATTTTTCCAAAATATGTGTGGATATTTAGATGTTATGGCAGAACACATAATACTCCAAAATCAAAATGTTTCAATTTCCCCATTTTCTCCATTGTTTCTGAAAGTGCAGAACAACCTCAGTTATTGACATTGTGATTTCTCCATGTATTTTCAGTTCTAAACAGCAGGACCTGTATGATGAGACATTCAGAGACTTGGTGCAGTCTGTAATGGATGGTTTCAATGGTACCATATTCGCCTATGGCCAGACAGGCACTGGGAAAACATTCACAATGCAAGGTGAGTACCCCTTTCATGATACTCACGTCCATCATTAATTTTTCTTGCAGTGAAGCAACCTACCAATGGTACATGTAGTTGACATATGTTTACTGTAATTTAGTGAGAATAGATCGAATATGAATTTTACTCCTGGTTGAGCTGAAATATATAACAGCGTGATCTCCCCAGCATTAAAGCAAGTGGGCGCAGCACCCAACTGAAAATCCAATTGCACCCACTTGAAATGAGAAAAATCATAAAAATGGGCATATTTGTCTGAATTGTGAAAATAAGAATGTTGCACCCACTTGAGAAAAAAATCCTGTGGAGATAACTGTAACATCAAGAGGAGTTCGTATATTTAATAAATTTGCAGTTGAAATATAGTGGCACACCTATATTTCACATATTTAAGGTAGACTGAGTAGAAAGTGCGATCTTATTATTTAACTTTAGGCTCTTTAGTGTAAGTTCACTCTACCCAACCATATGACCACGTTTAAAACGGGATACAGGCTACAGTGAAGTTGCAAATGGAGTGGGTATTCTTTATCTTTGTCTATAGAGCTATTTTGGTAATAATATAATGCAAACTGCTCAATGGATCTTTATTTTGTGTAGTAGAACACTTGAAATTATGTGAAATCTAGTATACCTCTAGAAATATGGAAACAAACGTCCTCCATTTGCAACTTCACTGCAGCTTGTATCCCTTTTAAATGTGGTCGCGTGGTAAGGTAGAGTGAGTTTGCATATTTGATCATGATGACAGATAGTAACATCATTCTACTTGACTATCATGTATGCATTTCCCTAGATGAATACACATTCATTTATATACTTCATATTTAAAATTCATGCGATGCTTGTTGTGTCAAACGTATTGAGATTTTCTCGTGACAATAAGACATGAATCAACGTAATATACCCAGCAGTACACATTTCTGCATGAATGGCTTAAATAATTGATTGATGGATCGAGCGATTAATTAATTGATTGAATTTTGAAGGTCACTCTTCCAAAGAGGAGTATGTACTGATATTATGTTACCACCACAAGTTGTGACATATTGTTAGAGTTTCCAACTTTTTTGTGGATGGTGTTTGGCAGTGGGCATTCAGAGAACGGCGGTTGGCATTCAGTATTCAGTCTATGTAACAAATAGCAGGTGGTGACATTTTGAATGTTAATGCCTTGTTTATTTATTATAATATTATATTTATTCATTATATTTTTATGTTTTAAGGTGTGAAGAACAACCCAGAACTGAGGGGAGTTATCCCCAACTCATTCGACCATATCTTCCAACATATAGGACGGTCAGAGAACCAGCAATATCTAGTCAGAGCTTCTTATCTAGAAATATACCAGGTATGTTAGTTTGCCATTTAAATGTACATGATTGTACATGAACTACAAAACATACAGGCCCGTAGCCAGCTTTTGCCAAGGGGGGTTCACTTTTCAAAAATTCCAAGGGGGTTCACATTGTACAACTTCGACCCAAATCACTTGAAAAGTGCTCAGATTGGTGAAAAACTGATTTTGAGAGAGTTTTTTGCCAGGGGAACCTCCCCTGGCTACAGACACGGCATGTAATATTTACAACCGTTCAAACCTCGGATTGGTTTTAGAATTGGTTATAAAACCGACTAAAGTCATAGAATGCACATTTTGGTGCTCCACATAGATTTTTTCTTTGCAAAACTAAAGCTGTGAGATTTGTGAGCCTGTAATGTTGGGATATCCATGGTGTATGTAAACAAAGCATGTCAGAGAACCAAGTAGAGGATGATTGTAAACAAGTTAGTTGTGGTTTGAGGTTGAAATGGTGAAAATAGTTAAGAATCATACTGAGAAGGTTTTTAGCATAAAGAGCACTTGAGGAGTCAGATGAAAACTATGGTTAGTAGTGCCATCTCTGAATTGTCCTGAGAACTGGTAGAAATATTGGTACAAAAACAAAACATCCAGTGTTCTAACTTTAAAAGATACTTTACAAGGTGGTTACAAAATATATAAAGTGACCTAGTTACAAAATAGATAACGTGTATGACCAAGTTCACTAAAAATAGCGATCAAATGGATTTTATAACAGCTAAATGTAAAATACAACTTGTCTGATGCACATATTTATAAATAAATATGGTTCATTAAAAATATAAGATACTACAAATAGGATTAGTAGATCAGTGTGTGGGGTGCTCAACATATGCCATAAGCTATAATAATCAACTGGATAATTTAGCAACTATCAGCCATTAGACATATTAGAGTTTTGTATCACATCAGTTTTGGATGATGCTTTGGATTGAAGTCTCAGTATTAACAATAATATGTTTGTAGGAGTTAAATCTATGAATGCTTCAAAATGTGAAACGTTTTAACTCATAAATCCAAATTTTTAAATGGTACAATGACCCAGAACCATTCACCTTGTATATGTTTTACTGAATGACATTTCTATTGACGTTTTTATTATTGTTCCATTTATATATAGTAAATCCATATTTATTATCCCATACATAGCTGTATTTTCAATGTCCCTTTAATTCCAGCATGTTTAATACCTTCCAAGGCATCAGTAAATGGATAAATCTTTGTAACAAGTTTATCAACATTGATGTTTCTCTCCTTTAGTAGGGTAATAGCCTCATCAAATGGTCCACATCTTGATCCTATCAATTTAATCTCCTTCACCACAAATGGGGATGTGTTAAATTCAAATCCTCCAGAAGCGCATGTTGTTTTAAGGACAACCGTCCCAAGTGGACGTGTTATAGCGGAGGTGAACATGAGACCTCCCATGTTGCCAGTTACCTCCACACAAACATCAAAATGATCTGTATACTTTTTGGTTAGTTCGTCAGATTTATCACTGAAGACTTTTGTGATTTTATCTGGGCATAAGTTCATTTTATCCCAATGACGCCCAAATATGGTGATGCTGCAATCCTGTTGCGATAGAACCTCAGCTATAAGGAGACCTAGTTTACCATCTCCAACAATCGCAACATTGGATCCTTTACCTACCAGGCTCTGTTCAACAATGCGACAGGCAGCAGCTAGTGGCTCAACAAAGCATGCTTGTTGATCAGTAACACCCTCTGGTATTGGGAAGAGATTCTGAACAGGGAGAGTGAGATACTCCGCATATGTTCCACTTTTGTTCAATATCCCCATGACAGTTCTCTCTGGGCAGTGATTCCTTTTCCTGGCATTGTCAGTCCCGTTACATAACTCACACTTGTTACACCTCAGGTTAATCTCTCCTGCAACACGCTGACCAACATTGATTTCATGCCTCTCGGATTCAGATGGGCCATTTAATTTAGCAACGACACCCACAAATTCATGGCCTACTATGCCTTCGTAACCTGCATATCCTTTGAAAATCTCTAGATCAGTGTTGCATATACCTGCACGAATGACTCGTACAAGGGCCTCTCCTGGACTGGGTTCAGGTATAGGAACATCTTGTAGCTCAGGAGCACCTGTAGCTGCGGTGAATACAACTGCCTGCATCATCTAAGTTGATCTCTGAAATATAGAATTCAGTGTTATAATGACTCGTACTTAGGGCCTCCTCAGAGATCCACACTCCTTGACATCTTAATGTCAAGGATCCTTTGTAGCTGTATACCACTAGATTAGCTTTTGAAAAATAAGTGATACATGGAATTAACATGTTAAAAAACATGTGCTTCCTGTTTTGGCCATCTTGAAAAGTTCAACTTCACCTTGAAGCATATTATTATGATGTATGAATTCAAAATAAAATCATCTCATCTCCTTATCATCTTACAACTGTGTGCTTAACATAGAGTTTAATCACTCTAACCTCTAAAATCTTCTCTCTTTTTATTTACCAAGCCAACTTATATTTGATTAGGAATGAGATGTAAGCCATAGTGCAGGCCAATATCCTTCCAGACATAGTCAAGTATTGCAGTTTGATTGGGCAGATCCTATAAACGTATTGACTGTGTTTCTAGATATTTACATGAACACAAATAAATGTTGCCCTGTGTACAAAAATTATTCTATACTTACTGGTTATGTAGAAGTATATGTCTGAATTAAACTCTTTCTAGCAGCTAGCGGCTAAATACAGTGCTTTGAATGTACAGTGTTCTTCAATTCTTCATCCTCCACTTTATCAGATTTCTGAGCTTTCAATATGTAGACTTATATTGCCTCCATAAAACTCACTCTATATTATACACAATGCACTGGCTGTGCAGTAATCGAGCTGCATTATATTGTGTATTTGTCTGGCATCTAGCCACAAACCAATATTCAATACAATTTGACCTTATATTGTACTAAACAAGTTATGAAGGTTCTGTTAGCAGGCTGCTGCCATCTTAGTTCAAATTTTATAAGGTCACTCATTGGTTTTCTATTTCAATGGTACAGATGGTAACACCTGCCTGCATCTTTTTGAATGTAAAAAGTTTCATGTCAGTCCCTTATACAAACCAAAAAACATTAAGATTTTGTCATATAGCGTACTAGAAAAATACTCCAGATAAATTGTTTGTTTAGTTTAATTTATTCAATTGTGCCCTTGTAAGGACATATCAATAAAAAGTTAAGATAGTAGGGAATTACAGACTAGATGCACGTTTTTTAAGGTCATGGTGATTAAATTCTATGTTTATCCATAAAGTGTATCCTGTACACAGCCAATATAATTCGCCGCCGTTTCGGCATTGAAAAAATTCGGCACTGTTCCAGCACCGTTTCGACACCGTTCCGGCACCGAAACCTTCCGACACAAAATTTTACTACCGGACTAGTCAGTCCATTTTGTGCCGAAATTTGGCACCGAAACGGCGTCGAAAATCAGATTGCATTTTGGGGGTGTAACAGTTAGTTATATGCCCAGTTTTCATGTGATTGTATGATATAACAAAACGTTTGGTTGAGTATAATATTACAGACAGTTAGGCTTTTGTACAATCAGTAACAATAAATATGTTATGTTATGGTATATGATATAGCAAACAACTTGGTATTGGCAAGATATAAAAACAGCTTGGTTATGATATGATATAACACAGCAAAGTTACAGTATAATATAAGAAATAGGTATGTTATGGTATGATAAGACAACAATCTATGGTATGGCATTAAATAATATTCAGCTAGGTTATGGTATGATATAATAACAGCTAGGGTATGGTATGGTATAACAAAAGGTAAGTTTTTTTTGGTATGACGTAACAAAAAGTAAGGTTGTGGTATGATATAAAAACAGCTAAGTTTTGTATGATTAAACAAATAGCAATATTATGGTATGATATAACAAACTCTTTTGTTATGGTATGATATAACAAAGAACAAGGCTACTGTATAGTATGAATTCACAAATGGCTTGCTTATGGTATGATATAAAACAACTAGGATATAGTATGATATAAAAACAGCTAGGATATGGTATGATATAACAAAAATAGCAAGGTTATGGTATGAAGTAACAAACAGACAGTCAGGTTATGGTATGATATAAAAACAGCTTGGTTATGGTATGATTCAATTGTTCATGTTTATGTCCTTCAGGAGGAGATCCGAGATCTACTAGCAAAGGACCAGAATAAACGTCTTGAGCTCAAAGAGAGGCCAGACACTGGCGTTTATGTAAAGGTAAGAGAATATAGATCTAAGGATTCATGGGTGAGGGGTACCACATATAAATGGTAGCATAAAGCGAAGGCATTTAAAAGATTAGGCCCTTTTCCAAAATAGACCGGGTGCTTTTCTGCAAAAGGTCTCTCTGTAAAATGTGGTAGGCGTTTAGTGTTAAAAGTGTTCTGACAAGTGTTTCTTATGTAACTTTTTATTCTGAATCCAAAAAACCATGTTGGCAAGCTGAAATATGATTATTTAACCCTTAAAATACCATTTTAGTCCCCCTACCCCAAAATTAACCCCTATCAGGGGGAAAAAATTCTTCAACCTAAAATAACTTTGATTTTATGGTTTTTGTAAGTGAAATACATGAACATTGTATAAAATAAACATTTGAAGTATGAATGATACGGATTACCCTTAAGAAATTTGAATAAAAGCAAAAAGTATGTACCCCAAGGGGCAAATTTATGACCTATTTTTTTACTTTTCGTGTCATAACTTTTTTATTAGACAATGATGGATGCTAAAAAAATCCATGTAAAAGGCATAATACCTGGTCTACTAATCCTGCAAGAATCAAAGTAATTCCTTTGATAATTGCCTTGAAAAAAATTAGTGAATTTAAGAAAAAATGACATTTTAGCTGGGACTGATTTTATGTGTGACTATAACTGACCCCTATTGCTTTAACATTTATCCCTCTGTGTTCATATATTTAGCATTTTAGAATAAATCTAAAATATATAACTTATTTTAGCAAAGTTTTAGGAAGATTTAAGCTTTTTATCATGTTCAACTATTAAAAATTCATGAAATATGATGTCTAAAATTGATAAGTTATAGGTATACCCTTGGAAGACCCTTATAATTTCTTATTTATGAACATATTTGTACCAATATTAGTTTTCTAGCTTAGAGAAATGATATATGATATATCCTGGCTTGGCTTTCTGGTGGTTTGAACAATCTTTTAAGTGTTATCATTGAAAATTCATTCTTAAATCATAGGTCTGCAATCGATTAAATTCATGTATACCATTAGTATCATTCTACTGGTATGAGCATAATTGAACTAGCTATGATTTCATAGATTAGTTGTTTGATGTATGACATATTCCAAGCTGACTTTCTGGTGATTTTAATCATCTAAGAGGCTTAATCATTGAAAACCATTACAAATAAAGGCCTAAACGGACAGTATTAAGGTAGACTATTAGAACACCCTATTTAATTCCAGGCTTAGAGTATATTGGTACCTACTACTGTCTCATAGCTCGGAGGTTTGATATATGACATATTCTGACTAGTTTTTCTGCAGATTTGAACCACCTAACAGGTCTAATCATTGAATAAACTTAATATACTAGGTCTAAAATTAGTATTCAATAGAACCCTCTATGATAAATTCAAAAAAGATTCAGAATGACATTAACCTCAACACTGGACCTGAATCAGAATTACAATTCTTCATAGAGCTGAACTAGGAAGACATGGCTAATTTCATTCTAAGCAGCCTGACAATTGCATGATGTGAGAGCAAAAGTACCAATGATTCATACAAATCTTCATTTTATGGAGTTTTCTTCCCTGAACAATGTTAAGTCATATTAAAAAATCCCCCCCCCCCACTGTCCCCATTAACCTTTCTGTGTTACTCTTGGAGTTAAGGCAGAAATTCTTGACAAATGGCGTATACTCACTTTGACAACATTTTGAATTAGTAGGATGTTTCAGTTAATGAGAGTTTTTGCAGAGTAGCAATTTTTGAAATTTAAATCCAATAGGACCATATATGGGAAATTCAAAAAAGATTCAGAATGACATTAACCACAACATTGGATCTGGAAATCAAATAAAGCAACTGATTGATGTGATCTCGGATGACTCTTGTAAATCAGAATTACAATCCTTCATAGAGCTGAACAAGGAAGACAAGGATTACTTTTCATTCTGGTAGTAATACATGGACATGGTCCAAATCTTGATACGCTTCACCATAGCCCAAAGAAAGGGAAATTGGGGGCTTCATCTCAATGTATTTCAATGCATGATCCCCTTTTTCATGAGATATGACCACCAAAACTATGCAAGATGGGGCACAGTACACTTCACTGCTGAAGTTTTGCTTCCTTGAAGACTGTAGCCAAATCCTCAGATGTAGATGCAATTGATGCTAATTTGTAAGAAGGATCATATATTGGAAATATTACGGTTGGCATTTCAATACCATTTGTTAATCAGTTAAGGAGTAGAGTACATTTGAGTTGGCTTGAATGTTTCATTCGTCAATGAGAGGGCTATTGGAAAAGACATCAGCTCATGTTTCATGATTTCATTGATGCTTTCATGTCTGTGGTTAGCTTCATATGCAGTGATAAGATTCTGCAAAACATTCCTGTCTGCCTTAACAACTTTCTGCTCGTTTATATTGGGATTAGGCATATAGTTTAAAAAATGTTGGTGCTTGCTCAGTAGATCAAGAAATGTTGTGTCTTTCATTTGACCCTGTTTGTATCAACCTCTAAGACACAAAGACATCCAGTTGTTGTTGGCCAAACTGTCGAGCCTGTTGATTGTTTCTGTGAGTACATCTTTTGTACATATACTTTGGAGATTAAGTAATGGATCTTCTGAAAACATGCCAAACTTCAGCAGCATGTCACATATTTTATCTTCTTCCAGAGACTGAATACTCTATCTTTTATGAGTACTAGTATCTACAACTATTTTTGATGTTATGAGTATTGGCTATCAATTTTTTCAATTTTTCTTCAACATGTATTGTAATGACTTCAGTATGAATGAAATGTCCCTTGGTGTTCTGGTCCTGGATTGTGATATTGGTTCTCGATTGGAGGGGGAGGGGGATGTTAGACATTGTTTCTTTCCACGTTAGATTATGGTTTTGGGATATATAGGGTCTACTTTTCTTATGACAGATTTGCACTTGCGGTTTGCTTTTCTTGTTGGGTTTCTTTAATGTTTTTAGTCACCCTTCCCTTTGGCATTTGTGTTTATATATCCATAGATTCTTGTTTTGATTTGCAAATTACCACCCCCCTTCTATGGAATCTCAAAACGCAAGTCCAAACATCATTCTTGTTTGGACTCCCCATGTGTGACCTAAGATTATACCCCGGTGCCCATCTATTCAATGCAGATATTGTCTTTGTGTTATGCCTTCAATTCTGCCACCCTTCTAACCAATAGCATACTGGCATTGGGGTCTATCAACTTGGTTGATTGAATTTGTAGAGCCTTTTACCACATAGTTCAATGCAAGAATCTTCGCTCAACTGCAGCAGGTACTATATTCTAATAGTTAGTGCATTTCCTCTAAGTTTACTGTGCCACACCTTCCATAATTTTGGTGGTCATGAAATAAGGGATCATGCATTGAAATGCATTGAGATGAAGCTCCTAATTTCCCTTTCTTTGGGCTTGGATGAAGTATAGCAAGATTTGGACCAGGTCCATGTATCAACACCAGAATGAAGTTAGCCTTGTCTTCCCTGTTCAGCTCTATGAAGGATTTTAATCCTTATTCAGATCTAATGTTGAGGTTAATGTCATTTTGAATCTTTTTTTGAATTTTCATAGAGGGTTCTATTGAATACTTCAATTTTAGACCTAGTATATGAAGTATAACCAATGATTAGACCTGTCATTGGTTCAAATCTGCAGAAAAACTAGTCAGGATATATCATATATTAAACCTCCGAGCTATGAAACAGTAGTAGGTACCAATAAACTCTAAACCTGGAAATAATAAGGGTATTCTAATAGTGTACCTTAATACTGTCTGTTTAGACCTTTATTTGTAATGATTTTCAATGATTAAGCCTCTTAGATGGTTTTAATAAACAGAGAGTCAGCTCGGAATATGTCATACATCAAACTAATCTATGAAATCATATTCAATTTCAATTTGATTATTTTGGTCAATCTTGCATATTTTGCTTTAATATTTCAGAATTATTTACTTCATTTAATGTGAATTTTGTTGTGAACATTTAATGATAATCTGCTTATAAAGTAAAAAACTACAGCATTTTACAACACATGCCCCATGTGGCCACCACTCCAGCCAACGAAGCTGTTAATGACTCTCCTACACATACCAACATGGATTGCAAAGCTTCTGATGAAGCTATCCACTTAAAATTGAAGAACATCTGAGAATTTGTCTGACACTAGTTTTACTTCTCTAGATAGATTTTAGTCACGCCATGGACAATTGAACAACTTCCTTCGCCAGATTTGATTGTGCATGTAGAGGAGAAGTGGCCACATTGGACATATGTTGTAAAGTGCTGTAGTTTTTGACTCCACAGGCAGATTATCATGAAACTTTCACAACAAAATTCATATTGAATGAACTGAATAATTCTGAAGTTTTGAGGCAGAATATGCAGGATTGACAAAGTTAATTAACTTTTCTTCGGTCCTGTTTTTTGGACACCCTGTACCAGTAGAATGATACTAGGCTAATGGTATACTTGAATTTAATCGATTGCAGACCTATGATTTAAGAATGAATTTTCAATGATAACACCTAAGATTGTTCAAACCACCAAAAAGCCAAGCCAGGATATATCATACATTATTTGTCTAAGCTAGAAAACTAATATTGGTACAAATATGTTCATAAATAAGAAATTATAGGGGTCTTCCAAGGGTATACCTATAACTTATCAATTTTAGACATCATATTTCATGAATTTTTAATATTTGAACATGCTAGAAAGCTTAAATCTTCCTAAAACTTAGCTAAAATAAGTTTTATATTTTAGATTTATTCTAAAATGCCAAATATATGAACACAGAGGGATAAATGTTAAAGCAATAGGGGTCAGTTATAGTCACACATAAAATCAGTCCCAGCTAAAATGTCATTTTTTCTTAAATTCACTAATTTTTTTCAAGGCAATTATCAAATGAATTACTTTGATTCTTGCAGGATTAGTAGACCAGGTATTAAGCCTTTTACATGGATTTTTTTAGCATCCATCATTGTCTAATAAAAAAGTTATGACACGAAAAGTAAAAAATGGGTCATAAATTTGCCCCCTGGGGTACATACTTTTTGCTTTTATTCAAATTTCTTAAGTGTAATCCGTATCATTCATACTTTTAATGTTTATTTTATACAATGTCCATGTATTTCACTTACAAAAACCATAAAATCAAAGTTATTTTAGGTTGACGAATATTTTCCCCCTGATAGGGGTGAATTTTGGGGGTAGGGGGACTAACATGGTATTTTAAGGGTTAAATAATCATATTTCAGCTTGCCAACATGGTTTTTTGGATTCAGCATAAAAAGTTACGTAAGAAACACTTGTCGGAACACTTTTAACACTAAACGCCTACCACATTTCCTCTAGATGAAAATGCACCTTGTCTAAAAACTTACCTGTCAACTTTTGAAAATATCACAGCATTTTTTAAAAGTTTGTTGAAATACATTGTATTAGGAGTACATTTTCTTTCAGGATTTATCATCTTTTGTGACAAAAAGTATAAAAGAAATAGACCATGTTATGAATGTAGGAAACCAGAACAGATCTGTGGGGTAAGTTGCCAGGTCCACATCAGCTACAGTCATCTCCCCACTTGAAAATGAGAAAAATCATGAAATATTGGCATATTTTGACCAATTTTGGTATGAATTGTGAAAATGAGAATTTAGAAAAAATCCTGTGGAGATCACTGTAATATGATCATAATAATCTCAAATGTAACTACTACAGCATTTTATTTTAGGTGCAACACATATTTACAAGTTATACACAATACTATGTACAAAATCTCTCTCATTGTATTAACTTTGCTTGAGCAAAAATAAATTAAATGAAATAGTGCTTAAAAAAATTGTAAAGATTTATTTACATGAACTGTATTTCATTTTCAATAATGTCAAATCATTATAAATAATTTTGTATTACAGGGCAACAGCCATGAATGCAGACAGTTCTAGATCTCATGCAATCTTCATTATAACTATAGAATGTAGCTCGGTAAGTAAAACAAATACTAAAACAAGTACTCTGATACATTAAATTAATGCTCTGAAATGACACTGAAAATAGGCTTGTCTGAACAACCATTTGCATCCTCTGAAAAAAGAGCGTATTTTGACTAATTTTGGTCAAAATAGTGAAACTTTGTTTTGAGATGTTGTGACATATTCATGAATGCAGAATTATCAAATGCAAGATATTTCATTGTAATCTTATGTCATAATCATTATTCCTTAGTGCAATACTAATTTCTCACTAGAGTTTGATCCCTGATCTTGACACCTCGATCTCTAGCATTTTTAGATCTCTCTAATTAGATCCCAGGGTTGTAGCATTGGTAATCAGAAGTCTTATAAGCATTTTGAGTAAGTTTTATTGAGTCGGTTTCAAGGTTCCTTGGCATTTTGAGTAGTGTTTAACTTTGAGTAGTCTTTGACTGAACCTATGAGTGATGGCGCATAGCAGTTTAGTCTTATTAATGAAAGTTCAAATATAAAAACAATTTCAATAAAAAAAATATTCTTCGTGTCTAACCTAGTATTCACCCAAACAAAACAAATTTCTTAAACAGTGATTAAAGACCTGTAAATGTGTTAATTGGAGATTTAAAAATGGTTAGTTCAGTTTTAATTCAATGATTTTGTTTCCTTATAGTAGTATTGACTGGTGTATATTTGAAAAGATCGAGTAATAAAGTATACATTGTATATATTATTTCAAATATTGCTTGTTTGTACCTCCCAAACTTGCAGCAGGTAAGAATGGTCTGATTTTAAATGTACAGTGTATATACACCTTTCATCTGATTTAAGCATACACTGTATACAAAACAAAAGCACAAAAGTACAGTATATATCACTTTAAAGGCCTTATACTTGTATTGCATCTTGTGTGCCAATGTGTTTTTATGTCACCACCACAAGTGGTGACATATTGTTATGGTCTCCAACATTTTGTGGACAGGGTTCGGTGGTTGGTGTCTGTAACAAATGGCAGGTGGTGACATTTTGTACGTTAATGCCTTGTACTCACCTTTGCTTCACTCATATATTTTTTAACTAGATGATTTTCAGAGACAATAAAGCCATTATTTGATTTACATATAATAATCCATGCCTTGATAAAAGCTTTTATCTTTCTCTAAACAGTTCAGTAAAAAGATTATCTCATAATTGATTATGATCAAATGATATAATTGGTTTCATTGTGCTGTCATAAAAAACATCAAAAGTTTGCTTTTCTTTTCAAATAAAACGATCATTGAATGTGTCACTTTGATAATGGGATTAGGCTAAGCCAAGTGAATGTCAAACCAGGATTAATTGGCTGCATTATTGTCAAAAAATATCTGTGAAGCTAATTTAATTTGGCGCTTCTTTTATTTTATAAATTAGAACTAAACAAGCTTAACACCTTTTTTTGCAAATTGGATTAACTAAAGTATTAACTACTAGAATGTAGATTTTTTCATACATGAGCAATCAACCAAGCTATCAACACTATATTCACCAGCCACTATTTTGATATACTTATTGAAAGAGAGAAGTGTATTAATTGTATTTATTGTATTTACAATGGACAGTCGTGGTAAAATTGACCATTTGGCAGAATTGAAGGAAGCAAGGAGACTGCAAACGAACAAGCGCCAAAGGGAACGTTATTGGCGTCGTAAGGAGGAAGCTAAGAAAATAAAGCTACAGGATAGTAATGCTGTTTCAGAAAATGCACCATCACACTGTGCAGATAAAACTGACTCTGCATCAGAAATTGTGCAAATAAAGAAAAGAAATGCCTCACAAGATGAAATATTGCCTTTGACAAATGTACCTGCTAATGTTCAACAAAATGGACTAGTACCACAGGCCAATGTTCAACACAATGGAGTATTACCACCTGCCAATGTGCGACAAAATGGACTATTACCAAAAGCCAATGTTCAACAAAATGGAGTATTACCACCTGCCAATGTGCGACAAAATGGACTATTACCACAGGCCAATGTTCAACAAAATGGAGTATTACCACCTGCCAATGTTCGACAAAATGGACTATTACCACAGGCCAATGTTCAACAAAATGGAGTATTACCACCTGCCAATGTGCGACAAAACGGACTATTACCACGGGCCAATGTTCAACAAAATGGAGTATTACCACTTGCAAATGATCAACAAAATGGACTATTACCACAGGCCAATGTTCAACAAAATGGAGTATTACCACCTGCCAATGTTCGCCAAAACGGACTTTTACCACAGGTCAATGTACAACAAAATGGAGTATTACCACCAGCCAATGTTCAACAAAATGGACTATTACCACCTGCCAATGTTCGACAAAATGGACTATTACCACCTGCCAATGTTCGACAAAATGGAGTATTACCACCAGCCAATGTTCAACAAAATGGACTATTACCACCTGCCAATGTTCGACAAAATGGACTATTACCACCTGCCAATGTTCGACAAAATGGAGTATTACCACCAGCCAATGTTAAACAAAATGGACTATTACCACATGCCAATGTAAAACCACCCTCATATGTACCACAAAATAAACTAGTGCTTCCAAATGATGTTCAGGAGAATCATATATTGCAGCCCGCCAATATACCCCAGCATGGACCAGTGCCCAGGAGGCTATCCTATAGGAGATATCACACAAGGTTACCACGGCGATTGCCTTTCACAACAACCAGAAACCACCGGAAACTAAATATCTGGACTAAATCTACAAACAGAATCTCAAGCCAACGAAGATCAAACATGGAGCATGATATTGAATGGTGCCCATCTGCAATACAGAAGAACGCTTACGTATCTGATCCCATGAGTAATCTGCAACGTCGTCATGTTAATACCAGGCTACTAGTTAGACCCCCATCAACAGCATTTACAGAGAACTCAACACACACCTCAGTGCATGCATCAAAACAGAATGGCTGGAATAAGAACAGTAACAAGAGATCTGCTCAGACACACACTGCATCTAAACCAGCTGATAATGGACAGAATGCTGTCAATGAGGATGCGAACCAAAGAAAGGCACGTGTTGCTGAAATGTCAATAGAACACGAGGATGCGAAAAGAGCTTTGAATGTTGTTTATAAGTTCATGCTAGCCAGACATGATATGGATGGCCAAAAGATGGTCAGACATGTGTATCGTTATGTCCGGCAACTCATTTCGAAGGACCAGTTTAAAGAACTACAGAATTTATTTGAACATTTAAAGTAACATCCACATGACTGGAGTTTGTAACCTCAGACATAAAATAAAAGTGATGTCCAATTGTTGTGAATTCACTGTTTTCAGATTCTAATATTCTGTGCTGATCTATATTCCGATATAATGAATTGACAAAATATATGGACAAATGCACATTTATCATGATAATTAATTTTGGTGGACATGGTCATCATTTTGAAAGAGACATTCTTAAATGTGTTTTGAACTGCCTTTACAGTACATTACAATGCACAGTACATTTATTTTACAGTGCATAGTACATCTATTTCAGTATTAGTCATTTTCTTTGTTCTCTTGTTAAATCAAGTTGACAAATTTCAGTGTTAGTCATGTTCCATGTTCTCTTGTTAAATCAAGTTGACAAATTTCAGTGTTAGTCATGTTCCATGTTCTCTTGTTAAATCAAGTTGACAAATTCAGGAGGAGAAATGAGGAATTTATTCACAGTAGAGAAAAATCAAAAAATAGAACTATGTTGTATGTAAATAACTGTTTTCTGATCTGATTATATGAAATATATAATTAATATAACAATCAATAAGGTCTTTATTGTTTTTAATAATGAACTTTTTTTCGCATCTACATGTACATGGTCATGTTTACACCAATAAGTGTCCTTTCCCATGCTTAGTGCTGTTGTCTAAAGTAATGATCACACCTATAATCATTTCCAAGAACTTATTACAAGATGGTAACATTTTTATTTTTTCATGTTAATTCTTTGTCTTCAATTATATTCACATGAGAGAGCAGTTTATATTATGACTGATACACAACCTAGTCCCGCCCATCATCACTCATTGAACTTATTATGTCACCACCAGAAGTGATGACATATTGTTATAGTGACAGTCTCCAACTGTGGTTGGTCTTTGGTGGCTGTAATACCATTCAGTGTCTGTAACACTGTTTGGTGTCTGTAACAGTGTTTGGCAGTTGGTCGGCCATCTGTTACAAATGGCCAGTGGTGACATTTTGCATATTAATGCCTTGTCTCTCATACATGTAATTGATATAGATCTCTCGTATTTAAAGTCTTCTTTTTAATAGATTTTGGGTGATTTGCATATTGAACTACCTATTTTATATTAGAAACAGCTAAATTTACATATTTTGTTCAATCATGTACTAGATATGTTTATTCTTTGTAAAGAAAACTTCTGATTCAACAGTTAATTCAGAAATGGCATAGATAGCTTAATACCATTGATCATAACTTTGATCAACCCACTGTAAATCTCATCAAATCCTATCTCTCAAACAGAAATTTTTTTGTTAACGTCAATGGCAATTTATCCGAACCCTCTGAAGATCACTATGTAAATGCAGGGGTTCCTCAAGGTTCTTTATTAGGACCACTTCTTTTTCTCATTTATATCAACGATTTGCCAGACTTAGTTAAATCACTGTGTTGTATTTATGCGGATGATACATCCATTTTTCGCGAATTTGATCCAGCAAATCCAAATCACTCACTGGCTATTCTTCAAAATGATCTGAATCTGATTTCCAAGTGGTCTGATACATGGAAGTTATTTTTCAAAGCCTCAAAAAGTGCGGATTTGACATTTATTAAATCTAGGCAAGAAGCTCACGACCTTGCACCCTTATTTCTTGGAAAAGATGAAATTCCAAAGGTTCGATCTCATAAGCATCTTGGTGTTATTTTTGACCACAAATTAACTTTTAATGACCATGCTAGACAACTTATGAGCTCTTGGAATAATGTTGATCAATCTTTCTCCAAAATAAAAGAATTCTTGCATTTTAAATATCGCCTTAAGAATTCCATTCAGGATGAAAATATATATACATGTATCATTCCAACTACTTAAATGCTTATCTCAAGAAAGAAAGAAATCGCCTTAAATAGACTTAGGGTTGATTTATTTCTAAATGCTCACTTCTTTGCTCACAATTTTAATTCAGTCTTATCCCCAGCTTGTTTATGTGGAAATAAAATAGAAGACAGCAAACATTTCCTTCTCAATTGCACCCTATACAACCCCCAAAGGAACAAACTTTTCGCAGAGCTTGCAAAATTCAATGTATTTGATTATTTCAAGCAAATGAATATGACAAACAAAGTTAAATTACTTCTGTTTGGAAATTCTAATAAAATGAATTTCAAAACAAATGAATCTCTGGCACACGCAATTTCAGATTTTATAGAATCATCAAACAGAGGTCAGACTTTGTAAACATCCTTTTCATGTCCTAGTGTCACCTTCACCATCATCATTTCATTCTTCATACTCATTCATTTTATCACATCTTTTTTAAATTCTTTTTTACATTTATTTTCCAATCAAGTTATTGCCTGGATGTATTTTATCTATTTGTGAATATGTCTGTAATGCCTCAGGGTGATTGACATTATTACACTTTGTTAATTGTAATATACTATTCATGCAATAAATACTATTAAAAAAAAAATTGATCATAACTGGCTTCCAAAAAGATTAGTATTGAAGCACGAGTGATGTAGCCAATACATGAGGTGGCTTATTTTGTGTGAGCTGTCAAGTAAAAAGTACATTGCATGAAATTCATGATATTTCTTGTAAAATGCCAAATTCCAAGTTCAACACCTTACCAAAACTAGGCATTGACATTCCATTAATGATTACTGAATTTGATTTTCATCTTAACATTGTTTGTTTGCTTTCAGATAGGGCCAGATGAAGAGAATCATATACGTGTTGGCAAGTTGAACCTGGTAGATCTGGCGGGGAGTGAGAGACAGGCAAAGACGGGGGCAACAGTAAGTCAATGTTTATTTGGGGAAATAAATTAGATGTTTCAATTTGGTTTCATTTGGTCACGTTTGATAAATAGCATTTTTGATACAATATATGAATAAATTTTCTCGATTGGATAGGGCTGTATCATCAAACATAAATGTTGCATCATCTGAAACTGAAATATTGTGTTTTCATTAACTAAAATGTTCAGTCATATTCATCTTAGCTTGATGCCAGACATTATGTGCAAATATATCACTTCTATCTGTTTTATACATATAACTGAATCAATCCATTTCAGGGTGATAGATTAAAAGAGGCGACTAAGATCAACTTGTCTTTATCAGCCTTGGGTAATGTCATATCAGCGTTGGTGGATGGCAAAAGTTCACACATTCCATACAGAGACTCAAAACTTACAAGGTTGTTACAAGGTATGGTATCAAAGTTAAACACAACAAACCTGGTACAAGCAGAATTAAGGTTGATCTTAGTAGAATCTCCACTGAAAAACAGGAGTCGATGTTGAATTATCAAAACTTAATTCAAGCTTGTCTCTGGCTTAATTTGTTCTTGTGGTTGATTCAGTGTTTAGAAAAGTTTTCTGTTTAAAAAGAGATTTTAGTTATCTTGATAAGCTGGTGATATTTTTTGGTGAGACGATAGAGGAGATGAGTTGGTTTTTGAGCGAGTTATTTTTACATTGTGTTAAGATATATGAAAATAATACATGTACATATAAATATAAATGTATGTTGTAATATAACTCATCAATGATTGCATGATGGTACCACTAGCTTCCAAAAACCTTTTTGCATTTGGAATACTCATTCTTATCCTGATTCTAGATGTGCTTATTTTTCTGCTGATTGCCCATCTGTTTTTGAGAAAATATGTATGAAGTTATATGCTATTCTGTTTGTAGATTCATTGGGTGGCAATGCAAAGACTGTAATGGTAGCAAACATTGGTCCAGCAGGCTGGAACTTTGATGAGACAGTCACAACACTAAGGTAATGATTTACAACTATGGATTTAATGAAAAGGGATTTTCAAGAATGTTGAGTATCAGTGATCCACTAATGTTCTTATACTCTGTGTTATTGAATATCCCAGTGAAGTTTATATTCAGAGACTCTAGACCTCTCTATCAGATTGATTATTTTTTGAAATGCAAAAAGAAAATATTTTTAGATTCAAGATTCAAAATTGCAGTTAAAGATGTATGTTAAATGCAGGTATGCCAACAAAACAAAAAAACATCAAGACTAAAAAGGCAGTAATGGATAATAAAAAGAACACTATACTCATATATTTTTCATGTTCTCATAATTTATAGATATGCCAACAGAGCCAAGAATATCAAGAATAAGCCCAAAGTTAATGAAGACCCCAAGGATGCACTACTAAGAGAATTCCAGGAGGAAATAGCAAGGTAAGAATATTTTGTAAACATACAACTCTTAAATGTCATTAGTATTAGAGCCTTCTGATAAAAATGTGAAAATGTGTAAACTGCAAAGTCAAAAACTGATGGATCTTTTGTTAAACAAGCAACACTTAAATGTCATTTGTATTAGAGCCTTCTGATAAAAATGTGAAAATGTGTAAACTACATAGTCAAAAACTGATGGATCTTTTGTTAAACAAGCAACACTTAAATGTCATTTGTATTAGAACCTTCTGGTAAAAATGTGAAAATGTGTAAACTACATAGTCAAAAACTGATGGATCTTTTGTTAAACAAGCAACACTTAAATGTCATTTGTATTAGAATCTTCTGGTAAAAATGTGAAAATGTGTAAACTACATAGTCGAAAATTAATGGACCAAATGGTGAAAAAATGTCTGGACCAGGTGGTGAGAGTGTCTTGACCAGCTACTGAAAATGTATGGACCAGATAGGGAAAATGTCTAAACCAGACAATGGTAGTGGTAGTGAGGCTATCCAAAAGAGGGGAGTTGGGCTCTTTGTACCATTGATTTGATTTACCTATCTCAATTTCAGACTAAAGGCACATCTTGATGGTAAAGGGGGCCCAAGGAAGAAGAAAGGTAAAAAGAAGAAACGTGAGAGACGCACTGGACCAGATGGAGAGATACTATCTGAAGGTGAGGAGAGTTCAGAAGAAGAGGGTGAAGGTGACAGTGAAGATGAGGAGGAGTTTAGGAAACAACAACAGGAAAAGCTGGAACAAGAGAAGAAAGCTATCATGGAGAATACGCAGCTTATTGCAGAGGTGATCACATACTTTATTTTTGATTTTCTGAATAAAAATGATGTAAGATTTATTGAGGTTTTCTTGAAAGTCTTTTCTAAATTAATGTGTTTTACGAGAAATTAGGCTTTGTATTGGTTGACATGAACTTGAGAATATACATATGGTATAAGACACACTCATTCAAACTTTTTCTTTTCTGGAAGCTTTTATGCAAGAAATTTTTTAGATAAAATGAATGTCAGTTTTGTTGTATTTATCAAGTTGGATTGATCAAACATCAGTTTTAGCAGACATATTTTGTTTGTGTAATTGATCTTTAGGGTCACACAATGCCTTGTGTATAATAATGTTATATCCATTAATTCAGTACAAAGACCTTGAGCACTACAGGTCACAGTAAACACTTGATAAGACATGCATAATAGAGTGGAAATTCTATGTACAGAAAACATGTAACATGTTAGAAATTAACATAAACATTTCACATTACTCTCCAGAATTTCTTTTCCAAGGCAAGTTAAAATTCAATAAATTTCAGTAATACAATTAAATGTAAATATTTCTGGAAATTTGTTCTGACAAATAACATCTGTATTCCTGGCCACATATATTTGATGAAAATGTTTCCATCCAGGAAAGGGAGAAACTGCTGAATGAGGCAAGGGAGAAGGAAGAAAGATTGGCGAAGGAGCAACAGGCACAGGAGGCTCTGAATGCTAAGATTAAAGCCATGGAGAGTAAGCTGCTGTGTGGTGGCAAGAACATTGTAGATCACACCAATGAACAACAGAGAGCACTTGAACAGAGGAGGAAGGAGATCTCAGAACAACAGGTACTATTCAAAAATGTTTCATCTTTATTCAGTGGTCCATAATGCACCATTCAAAAGTTTGCGTGAGACCCCCCACGACGGGAGGGTGAGGAATTTGATACACAATATTGCTCCCAGGAATTTGTAAATTACGATCGTACATATAGAGGATATACCCAAGATGTATTTCTCACCTATTGATGGTAAACAAAAGTACAACATATATACAGCATATATACAGCATATATATGTACTAGTAGTTTATTTTACTCAGATGTTTCAGTAGTTTTCTCAAATGATGAAGATATGTACTCTGAGTAATGTTTTTTTTAATTTTAATGAATAGGAATAGCCATGACTGAATATATATGAAATAACATGTATCATTGGTTTCACCCACAGAGTTTTTAAAATCTGTATGTCCAATTTTTCTGCTCTCTGTTAAATCAAAAATGAATCAAATCTTAATGCAGAGTGGGAAATTAAGCAAAACGTATTTGTCCAATATACAGTGCATTATTTTGCTAATTGGACCAAAAGTTTTGTTTCTCATATCTGTGTTTGAAATTTGAGCTCAAATTCATCTTGATTTGGTCATGGTGTTATACCTTGCGTATTTGTATTTTAGCGAAAAGAACGAGAGATTCAACAACAGATGGAGACAGAGGAAGAAAAGATGGGACAGATAGAAGAGGGCTACACATCATTACAACAAGAAGTTGAGATCAAGACCAAAAAATTAAAAAAGGTAGGGGATCTATATGTATAAGAGTAACATATTTATTTTTGCATGTACATGTTCTTCAATTTATATTTATTTATGCAAGTATGTGTCCTTCCAAGGCTTATTATCCAACATTAGAATTTTAAAATAATGTTTCCAAAACAATCACACATAAAATAATTGCTCATTTCACTGAAACCATTAACCACATATTGCACAGCCACTTAAGCAGGCTTCCATAATCATCAATGGATAATTGTATATGGTCGCCAGTGTATTGAATCTTTTGTTGAATGAACATGATTGAATGAGTACATAGTAGAGGCATACCTTGAACTTGTCAGGAAAAGGTATTATACATTCTGAAAAATAGTAGAAAGGACTAGCCAAAGAGATGGAATGATTTGCAGAATTACATTAACACATACATATATTTCAGTTATTTGGTAAGCTCCAACAGACTCGTCAAGAGATTGTTGACCTGCAAGATGAACATGTAAGAGAGAGGCAGGAATTGGAACAAACCCAGAATGAACTCACACGAGAGTTGAAATTAAAGTAAGTCACTTAGGCTAATTTGTACCTGGAGTTAAGGGAAACAGAAATCAATTATGTTTGAGGGATGAGGTAAATTATAATTTGTTTAGATATAAATGAGCACATATGAGATTTCAAGTAGAGTTTATTATTTTTAACAGTCACACGTGGGTCTCGTCATAAGTGCACAATAATTGGCATTTTGAGCTTCACCACAGAGTGGTGACATATTATTATAGCCACCATGTTCTTGTACCTGGCAGTTGGTTTCTTTAACTAATTGTTATTACTCTTTTGTTAACATTTGCAATTATTTACCATACCAGATTGTGATGTTTTGTGAATGTAAATGATTTAGTTCAATTTAACATAACTTGATATTTTCCAGGATGTTAATCATTGACAACTTTATTCCTGGAGAAGAGAAGAACAAAGTTCTGAACAGAGTGGAATATGATGAAGATGAAGATACGTGGGTGGTGAAACCACTAACCAAGCAAGGGTAGGCATAGATTTATTACTAAAAAAATGAATTCTTGAGATAATGTTAAGTTAAATAAGATAAGTTGTCCTGAGGGATCAATTGAAAGGTTACAATCGTTTCATGCTATGACATATCATGCAAAATCATTCATGTGATGCAATATGATTGATATTCAATCGTCAGAGTCATATTAACAGGTCTCTGTATTGTGTGTATCAGACTGATAGGTCCCTGTGCCATATTTATCAGATTGACAGGTTCCTGTATTTATCAGAGTGACAGGCCCCTTTTTAGTATGTTTCAGGTTGATAGGTCCCTATAAATATGTATCAGATTGACAGGTCCCAGTATATTGCATTCATATGTCATCATTACATTGTATGTTGTATCTTTGTTTCTAGCCACATGGCTAAGCGTCCAGTTTCAGCTGCAGGGAATAAGAGGCCAGTATCAGAATATGCTAAACTAGCTGCAGCCATGGGGGGTAACCCAAGGTATAAGGTAAGTGGAATTGTCAATTACCTAAAGCCTCACTCACATTTGCTCTTTGGTGGTCGTATACCAGCTGTAGCTTCACTAAATCAATATAGAAAATCTACCTGTACTGTGTATCCCTATATTAATGCTGCATATTTCTCTCGATTATGGGAAGCTATTGAATTGGTTTAAACTCTCTGCATCAGGGAACTTCAGTATCACCCTTTGTAAAAAGAAAAAACAGCATGGTTTGGAAACATTGCAACCTATGCAACCTTTAACCTTTGATATCATGAATCAGGCCGATATATCCTGGTAACTTTTGAGTTGCAAAACATGGCAAGATTTATAGTGTAAAACATCTATTTCAATGAGTCACTGAATGAAACACTTTCAGCCTGATAACATCCTACAAGTTGAGCTAGATATGCCGAATCGTACGACTCGGGACTATGAAGGTCCTGCAGTGGCTCCACGTGTCCAAGCAGCCCTTGATACGGCACTCATGGAAGAAGAAGACATTGACGTTGATGGCAGTCCAGCCATCTTCAGCAGTAAAGCTAACAAAAAACGTAAAGATAAAGATAAAGCAAATCCTGGCGCAAGGTATGTAGAGGTTTTATTTAATAAGTTCTAATATAACAGTTTGACAGATTACTATGTTTGAAAACCCCAAAAGTTGCTAATTGGTTAAAAATGTTGTTTATAGGTATCTTGAACATAACTTGAATAATTCTATAATTAAATGTGAATCCATTCAGAAATATATTCCACAGTGAAAGATATGCATTGCCTCTCTTGGCTTACTCTAAGCTCACTCTGTAATTATTTGCATTGAATCTGATGCTAAAACTATGCTCTGTAATGCATATTGATGAATCTATGCATATATTCTTTCAGGGCAAAAACTAAGAAAAATTTACAAATGAACAGTGGACCTCAGTATCCAACAGCTAGGGGCTTAGTGTCAAAATAGCCCCCCACCAAGTTGTGGATGCTATTTTAGTCCAGTATAAATATGGCATGAGACAGAAATAATGGAGAGTGGATCCAATGTTGGATAAACAATGTACTTGTTTATGCGCTGACAGCGTAGTAGACGAGCACTAGCTCTATAATGGTACTTTTAAAACACAGAAGCAATCCTCCCTTCATTTAGAGGTGTTACCTATGTTAGTGTGTGGACAAAGCCCAAAGTGGGGTGAAGTAAGAACGCTGAGCTCACTTGCTAGCACACGGGACTATCCTCTGACTAGGGCATTACCTTTTACAAAATTACACTAGGATTACAATACTCTTAGATGGACAGATGATTTTACAGTATGACACTCAGCCAGAGAGAACTGCAGATAAGGCTAATATATTTACATATACAGTCTGTAACTGAGAAGCATCTTAGAGGGACAACAGGGTCTTTTTAGGCTTTGCAATTTTAGAGGTTTATCTGTAATGACCATAATGTGAGGAAATCCTTGAAAAGGGTCAAATGGATATGAGCTTGCATATAAATAGAAGTCACTTATGAGTCTGGCATCATAGACAAAAAATATCAGAAATTGTTTTTACTTATCTTACATCACTCTAAATCTAAATCTAGATGTATTTTAAACAAATGCAAAACATTTTTTTACTTTATTTTTCGAATTTTACTTATTGTAACAAATGTTGAATAATCTCATATTTATTTCTCACTTGTAAAGCCATATTATAAGTTATTATAATTTATGTAGAATTAATGATGTTCTTGGATGTAAATTCTAGACAATGTGGCTTGTGTATATTGTACATAGTACTAAATGTTGAGCATTTTGTGATGATATAGCAGTGTGTGATAACTTCAAACCTGACCATTAGTTCAGTTTTATTTCCTTGATTAAGGGGTCTCCCTTAATAAAGCTGTTTTCCAATGAAGTGTCTTTAGTGCTATTTTGTCATATCAAGCTTTCTGCTTGTAGCAACATAATAATATACTAGTTTAAATTCTATTACATCAATCTATATGTACATTCTAATGTATTAAAGATATATAATATGGATTTGAAAAGTGATATGAATGATATTTAAAAAATACAGGATTGTCCTATTGTCCTAGAAAAATATTGTGATCATTGGAGGAAAAGTTCAGAGAAAAAGATGTAAAAAATAAATGAATTGAAAGTTGTTTTTCAAATACCTCCTGGGATCTCCAGACATTAATTTTGTTCTCGTAAAGATCAAGATTATAAGCATAGCAGGTATAAACAGAGGTTTAAATACATGAAATGGTAATCTTGACTGTAATAAAAAAAATGAAATAAATATTTCAATTAATTTTTGCTGTTGCACTTTATCAAGATGATATTCCACGAGTACTTCAGGCATTTAAATTATCTCTAATTTTGTGAAAAATACCAAGTTTTCAACTCTTAGAAGAATTAATTATTTGTATTATATTCTGATGCATTTCAAATATGTTAATATTGCTTTATTATGAGTGCATAGTATAATATTATATATCAGTGTACATAATACGACTATCAAGTGTAAATTCCATATATATAAACAGTGTAAAAAGTGTAAATATGCTAAATATATAATGTTTTAATTATGCGAGCGAGCTGGATTAATATAGTGGTATATATTAATAGAAAACCGTGTCAAAGATGATTGTTCTATTCAAGTTTAAGTAGTAATGTGTATTTAATAATGATTACTTTCACTGTAAATATCAACCTCAAGTTTTCAAAAAACAATGAAATACAACAATTGAACATCAGAAACTTTCTTCTCCAGCAATCTGAATTTACTATACATACTACAGTGTACTATCATGTAATTTACGTTCAGTATTTATTTTGTTACGTTTGTACCAAAGATTTTCAGTTATTCCGCCCATATGTGTGCAATGCCTGTGTTGCACACCCAGTTTGTGCAATATTTGTTTTGCACACTGCTTGTACCCTCGTTATCTGTGTTTTTGCAACTATGATTTTTATATTATATAATTTAGTATTTACTATTGAAATCCATCCATTTTTGTTTTTTCATTTCTTCTAATGCTGCATTTTGGAAATATACTGAACAGCTATTGTATCATGCTGGATTTGAATATGTCAGGGAAGTTAAATAAAGTTGTAAAATGTATAATAGCGAATTTTGAATCCGAGCTGAAAAAGTAGTCAAAATTGATTAAAAATAGCCTGTTTATTAATAATCTTAGTGATAAGATGCATGGACTTTATAAAGGCTGTTCAAAGCAAAGGATATTTATATTTTTACCTGGAAATTTGGGAATTTCATCTTTAGAATTTGGAGTGATACTTTGATGATGACCTCTAATACATATGAGATATTAGAATATGTACTATTTTTATTCTAATGTTCAGTCAGAACTGTATGTTTTGGTTTTGTATGGATATGAAAAATGCAGTATATACACCTTTAAATAGAAATGTAAGAAATGTACAATATGTCTACATTGTCTAGTAAACAATAAACCTGGATCTAACTTACAATTTCATATTTTTGTTCTTTTATGATTAAATATACATTCTTGTTGTAAACGAACATCCTGTATGTTTGGCATCTGTATTTCAAAATGTTGGTGTCACTTATTTTAGGCTAAGATGGTCTGGAATCGCCCCCTTTTCTGTCTGTCCAACATCAACTTTTGTACATATGAAAACTGCCATTTGTCTGAATTAACGTACACATCCATATTATGGAGTTATTACCAATTTTCTCCATTGGTCCCTACTATTGCCTCATTTTGGAGGATTAGGAGTTAAAATTATATTTGATATGGTAAAGAATACATTTGTAGGTCAATTTTGTAGATAACCCCCCTATCACACCAAACTAGTTCTTACCCGTTCTTGCCAGTCCTACGAAAATGTCGTAAAACGGGCTCAATCTGGCTGCGGTCGGGATATATGTCTAAAATAATTAGCCACTTCGTTCATAAACAGTCTTCAATACGTCCATCTCATTCGCAGTTCGTTCAGGTCGCACCACGTCGGTGTGCAACGTAGTATAAACTGTCCCTTAGTCTAGAAGGTCATCATGACCTGATTACAGAACGGTATGGTTGCCATCGAATTTTGAATCGATTCAAAATTCTAAATCACATACCTGTCCGGGAAAGTCCATGAAGTTCGTAAACAGACCATAGAACGTTGTAGCTACGTTCATTCAGTTCGCACACAGTTTAAAACCAATTTGGCAAAGTTTTGACGATCACCCGAAAATTTTGAGCATGCTCTAAGTGCTGGAGGACCTACTCGTTCTAGTAGTTTCATGAAGTTTGTAAACAGATCCCAAATGGTTCTTAGTGGGTTCTTAGTACGTCAAATCCGTTCGTGCACAGTTTAAGCCCGTTTTCGAGAACATGGTGAGGACTAGTTTGGTGTGATAGTAGGGTACTTTGCAATTTTGTCACCCCCTTCTTCGTAATTCTGCCTCAAAACCATTCAAAAACAAGTAAGAGTTATTCTGTTTGTCTACGAGTGAATTTATTTCATGGCTTACATGGCTACATCATTATGTATGGTTTGCTTTGCTAAAGTGGATGCTACATACATGAGAAGCTTTATTTGGAATCATTGTACCCTAACCTTAATGCATATATCTGTAATACTAAAAGTATAATACAGCACAGCAACTTAAAGCACTACATTACAGCACAGAAGAATACAGTACTATACAGTACAGTATAGACCATTAAGTACAGTACTTTCTTCTTTGAAATATGAACAGAGCAAGCTGCAGTTACCCTAAATAAAAACGACCCTACATCTATGGTATACTTCAGATAATATTTATACATATTTAATCGAAATTATATAAATTCAGTAAGGATCATGATTACTTGGAAGAAAATATTGTAGCACCAACATATCTTAAGATTTTGTAAATTCTAACAAAAGGAGATTGAAATTTACTACATTAGGATTTACAATGCAAGATTTTTCAGAATATGATACATGTTTATATATGTTTAGACATTAAATGTATTTTAAGCACATACAATTTACTATTTACATAAGCAGTATTTACATCAATAAAACAAAAATAACATGTTTACAAAATTGGAGGCCACAACACCATTACATCCTTATGACTGACCTCATCTTTTATAAAATCTAAATTAATCAAGTGCTGGGAAAACAAAGAACACACAAGCAACAGTGAATCTTTTATTGATTAAATGTTGATTGAATGTGCTAAAAATTATAGTGACTACCATAATTAGGCATGAAAAAGTAAAAAAACAAATCACCAAAAGTCGTTAAGGAAATTTTGTCAACCCAAACGACTGTATGCGTCATTTTAATCAAAACCAGAATTGACCTGTATTAATAATAGGCCTTCATAGCTTATAAGGGACCTGTTATTTTGTGCTAAATGTACTAATAAAAAACCCCTAACTTAGCACAAACCTTTACTTGTTTCAAATAAGATACAGTGTTATGTTTGTTTGAATGACTTTTCTTCCATTTTGTCATGATTTCCATTCCAATTGTACTGTTCACAGATCAGATTACAATTTGTGTCTAAAACCATGCATACCAGTGATCTCCCCAGGATTTTTTCTCAAGTGGGTGCAAAATTCTCATTTTCACAATTCAGACCAAAATTGGTCAACAAATGCCAATTTTTCATGATTTTTCTCATTTTCAAGTGGGTACAAATGAAATTCCAGGTGGGTGTAAGTCTATTTTCAAAATTTCAGGTGGGTACTCTGCCCACTTGCTTAAATGCTGGGGAGATCACTGCATACATTTTCACTAACTTGTAATAATCTATCCTACTTCTCATTTCTTACTTCTTACGGTCAGTTATACAGAATAACAATTAAATGACAAATTAAATACCAAAAAAGTTCTATATGTCTTGTTGAACATGTTTTATAAATATTTAAAATGTTGAAAGCACAGTAAGCACATTTGTTTCATGAACAAAGCACATTTAAACTTGCATAGATGAGTTTTTGAGCACCAGTTGTATCCTGAAGTAATAAAAATGGCTGAAATGTACAATGCCTTGTCAAGGTTTCATCTCTCTTGTACATTTATGTAATATGTTTTTTAACATGATGGCCTCACTTTGATCAATAGCATTCCAAACATAGGTGAGGCTAATTTAAACAGGTGAGGCAAACCAAATAGGAGATTTCACTACTATTGCATATCATTTTCACAGTTTCAGGAAAATATGACAGAATATAAAATCTTAGTGGGGCAATTGCCTCATCTAGCTACGCCTATGAGCCTCGTTCAATGCACATATATTCATTGATGATTTATAATTGGTTTGTCACCAGTTTAAACAAGCATATATGATATATTGACATGCTCCCTGAAAAGCATTTACACTCCCATTAAAAGTATGGCAACTGGAAGTCCCATCCTGACCACATGTTAAGCCAGTTTATGCTTTAACACACTATCCAAGGGGACTTCCACTTGCCGAACTTATGGATTGGGGTGTAACATGTATAATTGTTGGAGTGAATGGTGTTGGAAGACCAAATGCGAAGAATATTATTGAACAAAGCACTCATATTCACTCATGTTCAAATGGCACGAAGGTGGGCTATCTGATAATTAATAAAGCATCTCCTATTGTGCTACTTCTCAACAATTACAAAGTGGCATCATGCCAGAAGGATTCTAGCAAGATGGGCACGTCAACTTAGTCAGTATGTATTATTCCTGGAGCTTATCTTTAGTAACATTCCATAGATGTCTCGTGACTTAATTGGGACGCCATATTTTGAAGTTTAGCATCAATATCATTCCTGATTTATTCTGGCACATTTTTTATTTACAATGTAACTCTCATTGCATTTTAAAAACTATTTACAATTTATGTGTGTAATGCATGGGTACAATGTACATAAATACATAATGTAAAATGTACATGAATACATATGTATATTTACTACATGTATATATGTGACGTAGACTGTATGTAAAGTAATCACTCATTCTTTCACTCGCTCATTCACTCACTCATTTTGAAGCTGATATAAAATCCAATATTTCTTTGCGAGAAAACTCCTATTTACACTTCTCAAACTAAATCCTTTATGTGTATTGTCTCTGGTACACTCCAATGTCACACTCATTCTAAAATGTTGCATTTCTAGCTGTATGTACAGTAAAGTAATTGTTAAAACACCAACTGGAAGACTTCCTCAGTTTGCATATACAGTAGTTGTGACTGTTATTTCACCTTCTTAGTGGCTGTTCCGATCTGGCACTGGTTGACCTGGAATATATGGAAAATATTTTTGAATGGCAAAAATATCAGCTATTTCTGACCAAAATAATATAAAATTTCACCACCTGGCTTCAATTATAAAAGTGTAACCACTTGTTACAGACACAGAATGTGCAATGTGGAACACATGTCACATAAAGGACTGGTGGGTATAACAATAATAAAACTTGGCCCTTTTTAAAGGGAAACAATTAAAAAACTATGTTTCAAAATAGATAGAGCCTGATCCCTTGCTTTATTATATTATTCATATATACGTATATTGGTGTCTGTGTGAAGAATGTTTGAGTTAATTAACAATCCAAGAATACAACTAGTGTCCATTACATATTCAGGTATTTATCCCTTCCAGTAAACAACCTATGCTGCCTTTAACTTTAACATACAATGCTGTACATAGAAAAATACATATTATCAATTCATTAAATCCATTTAAAATACATTTTTATATAAACTTTTCAAAAGTGCGATATCACAACATTTATTATACAGACTTCTCAAAGCAGAACACTGGTCTAATCAGAAATCAACCGCCAGATATTCCCTAAAACCCCACAAGATTTGTATAGAAATAATTGTCATATAAACCTACCTTTGTTGCAAATCTCAATGAGCACAATGTCTCATTGAAACACTCTTCTTTAGGTGACACATTAACAAACATGAGTGTCTTGCTGTTTCCACCAAGGGAGTTCTGTAGTAGATAAGTCAGCTTACTGTTTCTGTATGGTATATGGGGCTCCTGTAATAATAATAGACATTTTGTTAATAAGATCATCATTTAACAATACATGTATATCATAGAGGTAGATGATTCTGACCTACAAGGGTCCTGAAATGACAAAATTGCATCTAATTTTTTTTATATACCATAGAAAATACAGTAAACTCTGTAAATCTGAACCCCTCTCTAATCTTAAAACACCTCCCTAAACACCTTTTTAATCTTCTGTAGACTCCAATGTTAAAAATCTGTGCAATGTGAACACTTGAAAATCTGACCACTCTTGGCCAGTACTAGTGCCTTATACAGGCATTACAAACAAGAACGGCCTAATTTTAATATATGAGTCACAGGGGATTTCATAAAGATATTTATTACCTTATTGGCAAGAGCCATGATGACATTGCCAAGGTTACTGAGACTCTTGTTAATAGCCTGAGTCTCCTTTAGCCTTGCTCCCTCAGATTTTGATTCCTTTAGTCTCTCACTACCAGCAAGGTCAATCAGATTCAATGTACCTACAAGATATAGTGAAGATTCAAAGCTGGAGATAAATTACATGTACTCTTTTGAAAGAAAATAGATGCTACACATTTTTTAACTTAACAACTGGGTGCACTGGTACCACTCAGTTGTTTTGATGCTCGGGAGCAGATCGTCTTTCAATAAACTTCTTTTTTCGCACACAGTTGGGAATCATTGACTCAAAATTTCTTTAACTAAATGATGTGAATGCACTTAATATCATCTTGATTAAAGAAAAACCAAGCGTAATGCCTTAGTTTCAGTAATCATCTTACCAATTGATCCCTCAGATGTGATAGTGTTGGTGCCTGTAAGTTTAAGTCTGAACACACTGTGGCTTCTGCTTGATCTCTCATTACACTTGGTCTCTGCTACAGCACGGTTCTGTGCTGCCTTGCTCAACAAATTGCTCACCTAAACATAAAACATAAATCTATACATTATGGCTTCTGCTTGATCTCTCATTACGCCTGGTCTCTGCATCATTGATGCATTTACCCATTTACACTCCCCCAAAAAATTGTAACTTGGTCTCTGCTACAGCACGGTTCTGTGCTGCCTTGCTCAACAAATTGCTCACCTAAACATAAAACATAAATCTATACATTATGGCTTCTGCTTGATCTCTCATTACGCCTGGTCTCTGCTACAGCACGGTTCTGTGCTGCCTTGCTCAACAAATTGCTCACCTAAACAATTCATATAATCTGAATACATTGTGACTTCAAAGAAGTTGGAAGAGTCATAACTTTAGGTTTACATTAACACAAGTTTTAAAATGAATATCCATGTTGAATATTGATATAAAATTTGATTTAATTCAAATTTATTTGGGTCAATGTCTAAAATATATTAAAAGGTAGTGACGAAATTTAAAAAATCAAGAAATGTTTTATAATTACAATTTTTTGGGGGAGTGTAAATGGGTAAATGCATCAATGATGTTGAATATTGATGTTGCTACTTACCTGTTTTGGTGAATTAACATTGATGTAAGTAAGATTGGTGACATTGACATCATTCACATTAGGCACCATCTTGATTTCATGCTTCAGATCTTCTTTTCCTGACCCTAGTAGATCCCGGATTGTCTCGTTGTAGATCTCGAGGAAGGACGCCTGCATCTCATACTACGTGACAAACAATGGACTTGTAAATATTTCAAGACAACAAAGAATATATAAAATTGGTTTGTAACTGGATAAAGAAAAGAAACTGATGGTTTTTGTCGAGCATATACACTGTAAGTACGGAAAAAATGGACAAAAGTTTCAACAATATCGTAATAATTTCAATAAATAGGATCAATGTAAAACTCATTTAGTATGTAACTAGATGATTTTGTTGATGCAAATTTCCCTTTATCATTGTGGTCAAATTTTTAAGATACAAACATACATACACCTGTGTAACAAAGCCTCTATAAATACTTTCTTTATGTGAAACATCTTATATAAATAATGCTATCAATTTTGCAACATCCAGCTAATATCAAATGTTTCTACCATACCTTCCAGCCTTTATCCTCCAAATCACTTGCATTCTTAAATATCTGCTCAACTGCCCTGGGGATCATTCCTGCATTCTCTGGCTCATTCTCTCCTCTGCCCTCCATAGTAAATGTCTTACCAGAACCTGTCTGTCCATATGCGAATATACATACATTGTATCCATCTAAGGCACTCTGAAACAATACAGTGTTTAGAATGATATGAAGGGCAACCAGATATTTCCAGTATTCCTGAACTAAATATAAACTCTCTAATATACAAGAGTTTAACTTGACAATTGAATTAAATATAAACTCGATGAATCACATATTGTTCTATTATTTTGACAAATCATGTGAAATTTACCTTAAGTTCACAAAATTCATTAAAGGGTTCCGATAAGCATCCCGTATAAAAACAATATGGCGGCTCCAGGCGAATCAACTGGATCAGTCCATTTTTAAGAAATAAGGGGAGTTCTGTAAAATCCAGTTTATTGAAATTGTCTTTGAGATAAAGTAATCCGTTTATAATGATTTTGAAAACGTTATCCAAAGAGTGATTGTGTTCAAAGAATACATGTACAACAGCCAATATAAATCCTGCTTTGTTTCATTTGTAGGATATTTCATATGCCAAGCTGTGTGCTATTACGTTATGGGGAAATTTAGATGCCAATTTTTCCTTATTATACACAAATAGAAGATCCTGAAACTTCACCCATAAATGTGGAATTGATTTGTCAAAATAAAAATCACCCTTTTATAAATGTGTGACGATCTATAATATACTTATGCTATATAACAGTTAGAGGTGTTGACACAACGACCTCGAACCTGTGAACCCTTGAGTATTATTCCGGGATCGGGCCTTTTATACTAAACGGTGAGCAACACCAGAAACGAGCGTTCGATTTGCTAAACGATATGCGTCACCCTTTAAACTTATCAAACTGGCAAGGTGCTCAATGCAACGTCAGGCTCATAGATCATATTGAGAAAAGACAAGGGGCAATATAAAGAGAACACAAATTAGCCCAAAACCCTATAACCAATGCACAATTTTAGTATCATACCTGTACCAACTGTGAAATCTCCTCAAAAACACAACTTTGTTTGCTATCTGGCTCGAACACTCTGTCAAATTGGAAGTCGTAGTGTGTAGTCTGACTGGCACTAGCCTTTCTTGATACTGTACTCTGAAGAACAAAGTTGTGAATAAATATACCATCATGTCTGTAAAGAACATTTCCTACTGAAATAAAGCTTATCATCTTTTGATAGTGGATATAAATCCAGAAGTTAAGAGATTGACAGAAATAAAGTTGAAAAAAGTTTTCTATAAAAGTTTCTTTGTGTGTTGAGAGGTAAGAGATTTCTAAAATTATGAGTAGAGACCAGCTGCTTTTGACATCAAAAATTTATTTGAACAATAACACTCATTTTGACTGACCAAACATTTAAAGTTACAAAAGGGCTATAAAGTGTTATAAAAGCAATCCATACTAAGCTTCCATATTTTCTCATTAAAACATTGATATTAAGTAGGATGGGTTATGCCACTACAGGCAGTTCTACATTATTTCAATCCTAAAAATCCAGATAAATTCGGGTTTTGTACAAGCATTGCTTCAAAGCAAACCATTTATATTAGTTATTGGACAATTACAGTGATGTTATTAATTAGTAAATCTGTGATATTGTTAAATGTGATTTGCACTATTCAAAGATTTAGTCAAAGCCAAAATGGTTAATTGTTTCAACTTCTCAATGAGGCCTTTAACAATTGTAAAATAAGCCATATTAAACAATTTTAACATCCCCTAGACCGCATCTTTCAACATGCTGAAGCTCATAGTGATGTAATCCTGAGTAAAACAGCATACATACTTGAGGTTCATAGCCAGTCTAATTGTATTTGTACATCACAAAATAGAATACAGGATTTTAACATTATAATATGAAATTCCTGATAAATGCTTTACTAAATGTAGATGGCCTTTTAAATTTCTTTTAAATATTCTATTGCATTTTCATACAAGTCTGGATTTAGTTTGTCTGTCCATACTGATTTTGACAAATATGTTCATGTTCTATTAGTTATATTTTTAACATACCGTATTCTCTGTAATTAGCGCCCAGGGCGTTTAGAAAATTGAAAATACATTATTTAGACCATTCTAATAAGCGCCCATGTATGAAAGAAATCAGAAATCCCGAGGAATTTCATGTATGGCAATTTTTCTTGACAAGAATGCATTTTCTTCAACATATTTTTATAATAATATGACAAGTGCTGTTATTGGAGAGAATACGGTAAAGATCGCTTAGACAATATTGACAGTGGTTGAAGACCCGTCTATGTCTAATTTATTTCCGGCACGCCCACTTTGTCATTATCGCCGATTACCTTCAATATTTCTACTAGAGACTGCTGGATATCGATCTAAAGTTATACATTATTTCTAATTTGATGAGAGATCATCATTATTCGTGCAAAAGTCGTGTAAAAGTCGAGAAACATTAAAAAGAAACCAGAAAGTTCACGACCTTGACATGCGCAGAACATCTGCGCAGTAGCTTTTGAAATTTCTGAATGCCGATAAAGAACAATTCCTTCATTCATTATGGACTATTTGGAGACAATATTAGCATGGTATGGTGTGGGAAGCACCCATCGATAGATATGTATCGAGAGGATGCATAGAATTACAAAACGCGTCGTGTTTACAGCAGTTTTAGGGTAAGTACTCTATTATCGCCCGCTCCTGGATTTTGAGAAATATTTTTTTCCTGATATATTCTTCAATTCTTGTTGATTCCTCGATGTTTCTTGAACTTTGTGAAGCAGGGTGGGCGCTTATTAGAGAGTGGGCGGTAATTACAGAGAATACGGTAATCAAAATCTAGGTACAAAAATCAGGATTATATGTTAGTTTCATCATCGTATGGGTAGTTAAGTTTCAATGTCAATGTAAACTTTTCCAAAGAGGGAAAATGCTTTCTTAACAAAGGGATATATTTTGTCAATTGTATTCAATGGCATTTCTTTTGCATCATTTATCAAATAGTCTCAAATAGTTTCTCCCAATCTCTATGTATTAATACATTACGATACCAAGTGTTTAAAATTTGACAAATTGTTTAGTAGTCTGTTAATGTTACTGCAATTGTAAATTTGATGGTAGTAGTAGCAAAAAAAAGAGTTTAAATTGTCTTACCTCATTTAAAGTTGAATCGCCAGTTTTATCTAGTTCCAAAACTTTATGATCGGGATCAGGGAATGTCATGTGTTGAATCTCTCCATCATTTCCTAGAAGTTCATCTCCTAATAGAGGGCGCACTCGACAGAACACACGGATGTTTCCCTAGACAAAAATCAATTAATCATTGACTTATCAACTATTTTCTGTAAGGTGTCTCACCTTCAAATATATGTACATATAGTTTTTACATAAAACAATTTTAAACAATCAAGATGATGATCTGATAAGTAAATAATATATTTTGACAAAATTAAACTTGTATTTCAAAATTGAAAAAGAACTTACAAATTGCTAATTCTCTAAGAAAATCTTCTGGAAATCATATCATACCAAATCGATGCATTTTCAAAAAATGATGATCTGCACATTTTCTGACCTCTCTCAATGACATGCTTGTTTATTCCATTCCTTGCTTTCCACTTTATTTTTATTTAACATCAAACAACCATGATGCATTTGTTTCATACCTTCAGTTCCTGTATTGTGTTATGAAGAATGCGTCTCCTGGTTTCATGTTCTCGTATTTGGCTCTCTTGGTCACCTATTGTTGCTTCATGGTTGGCAATAATCCCTCTCAGCTCAGATATGGTTTCATCCTTTATTCTCCCTGCTTGGAGAGCTTGGTCAAGATTTAGCTGGAAATTGCAGAAATCAAAGACTTTGTTAAAAATGGAAGTGTCCAACATATATCTTGTATGACTGTATACATGTACCTCTAAGGGCATAATGGGATACTGTGTTTTCCATGCCGTATTAGGCTCTGATCAAAATCAATGTGTAAATTCATTATAGGTTATAACCTACTTCATAAACACTGGTGATTGAATGTAGTTTCGTATCTAAGTTACTCCTAGCTCTGAATTTAATTAATGTTCAAATAGTTTCATACTTTAGTGGCCCCTAGCTCTGCATTCAATCCAGCTTGAGCAGACGACAAGGATGCTACAGTGGATTTCAGTCCAGAACATTCCTGTTTGGATGCACTCAATTCCCCATCTAGAGTATCTCTCTGCCTCTCTAGTGTGGATTTAATAAATTTCAGATCCTCTATCTCATGATTGAACCTCCGTACAGAATCATCCAATTCATCACGACTCTCTCTGAAGTCAGAAGTTGTATATTCTTATAATATTAAATCTATGTATATATAAAAAATATATGTTTATTTATTTATTATTTTAAAATACATTAAAAAATTAAAATTAAATTAAAATTAAAATACATAAATTCTGCATAAAAAGTATAATTATCAGATTATTTTGAGTGATATCATTTTTATCGACGTTGATATCAAATATCAACAAGAGTGAGCAAAGCAAATGAGTGTTGATATTTGATATATCTATGAGGTGATAAAATGATAACACTAGAAATGATCTGATATTGGTTTTATACCATGATTACAATCAGAAATTAAAAAACTCAAATTCATTTATCACACTGATAGGTGGGTGATAAACGATATCAACCACATATCAGGTTGATAGATGATTTTCTAAAAGATATGACACAGATTTCAATAATATCAGAAATATCACAAGCTGTTATTATATACTGTAGATATCACATTAATTGTGGGATAAAAAGATATACAAAACACCCCTCTGAATCTTTGACAACCAATAATGAAATCCCACCTGAGTTTTTTCTCCAATGCGGAAATCTCCTCCTGTCCCCGAGTGTTCAATACTTCTTTCTGCTGTACAGTACCCTCCAGCTGGGCATTGATGGCTTCAAGTTGTGCTAGCCTAGAATTGTTGGAGTCCATTTGTCCCTGCAACTCAGAATTGCCAGACATGGCCTCCCTAAACATGGTTTCCATGTCTTCCAGACGGCCTTTGACATCCCAAGCTGGTCTCTTGCCCCCTAGAATCAAATGCACAATGTAAAAAGAAAGTTCTCCCCAACCTCGATGCAAGTAGAAATAATCTTGATATATGTCATTATATATTCAAATCTTAGCCAAAGTGATATCATTTTGAAATCTACATGTAAAATTACATCTGAATATATGGTTTTAAAAATTGTTTATCAACTTTTAATCTAAATTTTCTTCGAAAATATGACTTCTTGATCAGGTAGATTCACATAGACCCTATGTGGGTGATTGAGCCTATTATTGAAAGGGGCAACAAAAACTAGAAATATGTTGTAATTTTTTAGCGTTGACCATCATTTAAATGATTACATATACATTTTCAGTGGTGCCATCTTTAAATACAATTTAAGTTTGGGACTTATTTTTTTTAATGAATTCGATTCTTAAATGAAGATGAGAAGGCCCAACATTAAAAATATGAAAATATGTCCCTTTTAATTTAAAGCTTTGTACAGAATGAAAAGAATAAGATTGAATAGATCAAAATAAAGTCTGGGGAGTATGCCACCACTTTTTCAGACATAATCCCATTCAGAATGAATTACATGTTCACGGTAATATATTGGATGTACAATACAAATAACTTGTATAAGTAGACCAAATGAGAGGAATGGGTGGAATAAACAATAATTATAACATTATAATTTTCTTCTACTGGAAATCATTGAATGTTAGTTGAAATACTCAATTTATGAAACCATGAATTTTTTGTGAAATGAAATATCAAGGCAGGTTTTCTACAATTCTACCAAAACATATTATCAGACAAAATGCTCACCTGGTTTTGACACATTATTGGTGGTAGACCTGGCTGTACTGGACAATGGAGCACCTGAAAATATAGAAAATGAGAACAATTTTATTAATCATATATAAAGATTTGGTTGTACTGGACATTAGGGCACCTGGAAATATAGGAAGGGAGAACATTTTTATTAATCATATATAAAGAATTGGTTGTACTGGACATTAGGGCACCTGGAAATATAGGAAGGGAGAACATTTTTATTAATCATATATAAAGATTTGGTTGTACTGGACATTAGGGCACCTGGAAATATAGAAAGGGAGAACATTTTTATTAATCATATATAAAGATTTGGTTGTACTGGACATCTGGGCACCTTGAAATATAGGAAGGGAGAAATGATTTATTAATCATTGTGTAACAATATCAATGTCCACAGATTCTATGTAGGGATGGCACCAAAGTCCATTGGTCTCTTTAGGGAGATACTATATCCTAAAGGAGAATTGACCTACTTAGTAATAACTAATGTACATCTACTTTGGATCCAAAATCAAGCCTATAATGAGGCAAATGCAGATTACCTCCTCCCCCTCAAATGCTAACATTTGCACACCATATCTTAAAGACCAAATGAGTGGAATAAATAGGCCAAATGAGTGGAATAGGTAGACCAAATGAGTGGAATAAATAGACCAAATGAGTGGAATAGGTAGACCAAATGAGTGGAATAAATAGACCAAATGAGTGGAATAGGTAGACCAAATGAGTGGAATAAGTAGACCAAATGAGTGGAATAAGTAGACCAAATGAGTGGAATAGGTAGACCAAATGAGTGGAATAGGTAGACCAAATGAGTGGAATAGGTAGACCAAATGAGTGGAATAGGTAGACCAAATGAGTGGAATAAGTAGACCAAATGAATGAAATAAATAGGCCAAATGAGTGGAATAGGTAGACCAAATGAGTGGAATAAGTAGGCCAAACTAGATGATGGCAACTCCGAGGAGTAGCAAATCCCAACGAACAAAATATCAATTACCGAATTCCAATCAATTATACTCATTACTTTGGTTAAAATTGAAAAATTTAGATTTTAGAATTGCGAATTCCTGCAAAGCAGCCATTTTGAATTTTCTGAGGTACAAATCTGAAAAATAATACCATAATTGTGATCTACTCAAAAATTCCTTCAATTTGAGTATTATATAGCCATACGTTGAAGGGATCGAAAAATTATTGCGAAATCGTACATTAGACGGCCATTTTGAATTTTACGAGGCTCGAATCAGAAAAAAGATACAATATTTGCAATCTACTCTTAATTGCCTTTGATTTGAGTATAATAAAGCTATACTTCAGAAAGATCTACAAATTAGCGAAAATTTCTGTTTTCCTGACCCCCCATACACGGCCCCTGGGGGTCAGGATGAAAAACACTGAATATATGTGGAATAGATAGATGTTGCGAATATACTACCAAAATTTCAAACAATAATATTAATTACTTTGGTTTAGAATGAAAAATTTATGATTTTTGCGAAAAAGTCCCGCCATTTTTAAAGCGGCGGCCATCTTGAAAAAATCCATTTTGAATTTTCTGAGGTACAAATCTGAAAAATATTACCATAATTGTGATCTACTCCAAAATTCCTTCAATTTGAGTATTATATAGCCATACTTTGAAGGGATCGAAAAATTATTGTGAAATCGTACATTAGACGGCCATTTTGAATTTTACGAGGCTCGAATCAGAAAAAAGATACAATATTTGCAATCTACTCTTAATTGCCTTTTATTTGAGTATAATAAAGCTATACTTCAGAAAGATCTAAAAATTAGCGAAAATTTCTGTTTTCCTGACCCCCCATACACGGCCCCTGGGGGTCAGGATGAAAAACACGGAATATATGTGAAATACATAGATGTTGCAAATATACTACCAAAATTTCAAACAATAATATTAATTACTTTGGTTTAGAATGAAAAATTTATGATTTTTGCGAAAAAGTCCCGTCATTTTTAAAGCGGCGGCCATCTTGAAAAATTTTTTTTTGCGTAAAACTGTTTATCAATATACATCTTTCCACCAAATATGAAGAAAATCCGTCAACTAATATTTGAGTTATCTTCCGGACGGACAGACGGACGGACGGACGGACTGACGGACTGACGGACGGACGGAGGGCTTCACTATATCCCTACCGAACTTCGTTCGTTGGGATAATGAGTGGAATAAGTAGGCCAAATGAGTGAAAAAGGTGGACCCAATGAGTAGAATAAGTAGCAGTGGAATAAAATGAGGCTAAACGAAACAATATAACATTAAAACCAAAATGTTTGAGTCATGTTCTGACTATTTCTTCAAGACCAAAGTGACACTGTGGTTCACTGATTAATTTATTCATGGATTGGGAAGTAAACATTTAGTGGGTGAAAAAATATATTTAGTGTTTGCATATGAATGTGTTAGATTTACTCCACCTTAAAGATGTTAGCCCTATATGATGTGATTGAGCATAGAATGAAAATGCTTTTCTGAAGATAAAATTCACCCTGAAAGCTTTATGAAGTCATGAAAATATACCTTTTATGCTGTTATAGGCTTACAAATTAAGAAAAATCAGAATCCTTCTTGTTATTGTTCAACATCATTTACAAATTGAATGAAACAAGATCAACTGTGCTTTATATATGCCCTTTGAAACCAAATTCAGCACAACACAACACATGTATGGTTTTCTTTACTGAAGAATCAGGTGCTATTTGCTTCTTTGTAAGTTTCCCCAAAGAATGAACCCCCTATTTATATGAATTTGTTCCCAAATTGAACAACAAGGATGTGTGACACATTTGAGGGCACACAGTTCTTTAACATTTTAAACACTTTAGAGCTTTAGTTTTTTCAAAGTTCATAACATTTCCTTTAAAATTCATCAATAAAAAGCTGACAGAGCAACCATGAAACAGGATCTCTTTTAGTCTACTGAAAAAAAATATGTGATTGTTTTTTCATAACTAAGGTGGCTTTGACCTGAGGTTATGATCTCATACAACATTCCCACATGAAGCAACTTTGCCCCAAGACTGACATTTGCACCTGTGGTCAATTGTGAGTCTCATTCCAAATATCATTTTATCATGTTATTAATTATGATACCACAAGAGTGGAATAATGTATTTTGGAAACCTCAAAGGTGGAAAAACATCATTCAGAAATAGTTTCCCATTCCTTCATTCCGCATCACTCATATATAATCAGGCCAAGCAAGGCATACACAAAAGGATAAGTATTTTACATTTGTTTTAAGTATGGCATTTGAGGTACAATTATGTTGTAATATAAGCGAACCACTGTCCACGACATTGTTGCTGAAGCACAGGATCCTTATAAGGCAGTTAACCTCAATGGTCACCCATAAGAGCTTTGATTGATCAAGGAAATCAGATAAAGTTTATCCAAACTCTAAATAATTCAAAAAAAAATATTGCAATTCATGCTTGTTTAAACTCACTAGATATAATAAATTTTTCGGATCAGAGTAATAGGTAGGGAAACATTATAGAAATTCTGAATAATTATATTTACTTGGGGTATTCAATAGATCACTTTAAAAATGACTTCGCAAATTTCAACGTCAGCATAAAATCTTGGTAATAAATCGTTTAAACTGTTTTATGCCTTTTCTCTTTTCATATCTTGGGCGTTTCATCATAAAAGTACTTTTGACCAGTCTTATCTTAAAGGCAACGTTTACTTCTAACAAACTTATTTGGTGGTCACTTTAATTTATTACCACTAGTGACAGATCAGTAACCTTTGCCTTGAGTTAATTAAATGATACACAATTAAAAGTACTAGTTAATGCTAAAAATGTTAACATCATCACGATTACATAAATGATTTAAATCCAACAGGTTTCTTTTTTTGCTTATATTTTATAGATTTTAGTTGAGGGACTTTATCCACATCTATTCAATTAGATTGTTCTTTTTGTTCCTCCCCCTACCTTTGACATATAACTGCAAGGAAATATTATTTCATTGATAGGTAGGTATGTGGCTGTAAATGTTAAATGAATAAGATATAATTACAGGTGTATACATATGTTAAAATCTCAAGATGACCAACTTGAAAATAAAATACATGTTCGTACAACAAATCAAGTTTAATTCACCAACCGATGATCATATTCTTTTAATATTTATAACAATGAATTTCACTTGATGATTGAAAAGCAAAGCTTTATCATTCTAATTTTGTCACATTAAAAACTTCCATGAGATAAAGCACACATTGTATAAGTTAGTTCCAAAGGTAAATGAGAAAAGAGGAATCAATATAAATTATTTATGACATCCTTTCAATGCTATTGATTGCTGATTTATGGTAGATACTATAGCTCAGAAACCCAGTAATGAGTATTACAACATTGCCCATATCTGGAATAATAGGCACTTCACAAAATCTGTTCATTTTCAAACTGTAACAATCACTGGTACTCACCTAGTTACGCTGAGGAAACGTCAGCGTAACAAGATGGAAGAACTTCTGGGCTTCGTTTTTGGATATTGTCACATTCATGCAATATTGATGAAGATCATCAATGAAACAAAAGCGAGGGACTAAATATGTGAATTGCGTCTTCGTTAATATACCAAACATAGAACCGCCTGCATATTCTCAAACTAGACTATCTTCCTTAACTTTGAGCCAAATTATTGTCCACAACTTGACTTATAAGTGGTGTAGAATCGAGAAACAAAAATATCTTACCGAAAACGAAGCTCGGAAGTTCTTCCATCTTGTTACGCTGACATATCGTCAGTGTAACTAGGTGATTACCAGTGACAATTACAAAATGTTTAATATATAAGAGTGGACAAAAATAATAGTTTTCTAATGTCCAATAAAGAAAGTTATTGATGAATTCCGATAGATTTTTTCCTAAGAAATGAAAAATCATATGTTAAGAGAGGAAAGGAGAATGATCCATTTTTCGCATAACTTGGGCAAAGAGAAATAACTATGGATCAAAGCTTTGAGCACTTGTGTCATTTCCCTACAAAGAATCTATATGCTGAGGGAGAAAAGATGTATGCTGAGGGAGATAAAGGAAGAAGGGGGGGGGGGGGTTAAACATATAAGCTAACCATGGGGCCTGCCACTAAATACAAGTATATTGGTAACAAAAACATGTATTCAAATAAATCAAACTTTTTGAATAGATTCTAAACTTGTCTAAGTACGTCACTTATGAATAGAATGTTTATGTTGGGTAGTAAGATGACTTTGGAATAGGCCCTTCATTTCTTAACTGCTCTTACGTTTAACTCATTGCTAACCTATAAACATCTTAACTTAAAGTTTCACATCTATCAATGATATATATCTGATATTGACGCTTGAAATATATTATCTTTTTGTGAGAAGTTTCATAAGTCACTTTCTAAAGTACTAACTATTTTGGCTATTATCTTGTAGCTTGCTTTTATCTTGATCTTCTGTGGTGTTCTTAGTTCTAAACTAATGCCAAGGCAAATGGGAGTACATATTGCCACTATTGGGCAGAATATATGAAATACTTTATTTGTTGATGAGGTCAAGGGGCAACTGCCTCAAGAGGCTCATCCTAGTTACAGAAGTGATCCTGCCTCAAGTCAATTTTACTAACTACATGTACAGTAAAACTTGTCTTAGTGAATAGCTCTTTAGTGAGCACCTGTGTTTAGTGAACACCACTTCAAGAAACATTTTACATTGACTCATGTATAAAAACCCTCCCTGTAGTGAACACCTACCTACAGTGAACACTTTTTGTAGCTCCATAGGTGTTCACTATATCCAGGTTTTACTGTATTTCTACCTGGGTATATGGCCCACATTTCTCTATAAATACAAGTTGGAGGTATAACAGTGGAGTAATCATGGGCGAACAGTAGTGATTTTTCCTTTCATATCAAGTAATGTTACTTACTTTCAATGAAAATATGAGTCACTAAAATAAATGCATGCCACCTTTAACTCCTCTGCAATTCATTTTTCTAATCAAAATCAAGAGTTCTAATTTTAAATTATTTTCTAATTTTCAGTGAGGTCTACTTTTTTATTTTTTCAAGTGGATTTTCAATTAATGAGAATTATTCTTATTTACATTGTTCAGAATGCCAAATCTCTAAATCCTGCTTTCCATTTATATCCTTAGAACCTCGGAATGTTTTTGATTACTGTATTTACATCTCTCATTGTTACAGCTACAACATAACAAGATGGTTGAACTTGTAACTTGAGCACATCTTCAATTCAAGTATGGCAACTCTAAGAACTCTGCTGAAGATTTCATGTAGAGCTCCAAAAATGAAGTACATGTTAGACATTCATTCAATTCAATAACATGTGGCAATATCTAAATTACTTTGGGAAATCAAATGGAAAACACTTTTGTTAGTTACTTTAATTATAGTCTAGATTGTTTCACAGAGTGACTGGCATTAACCATTGGAGACCTTGGCTTTTACAGAAAAAATCTTCTGGGTCTGAATATTAAATATACCCTTTATGAGGAGTTTGACTTCATATCTTTGAAAGAGTGTCTTGTCTATATAGAGGATAGAATTTTATTACAGACCTCTGGTGTCAGGGTAGAATATAAGAGATACATTATTCTACTCTGAAATGTGGTTAATCAGAATTTTCTTTTTCATATACTCTATCATTATCCATAGATGATTTGGAAAAGGTATTCTAGCTAAAGGTAAAAAGGTTAGCTTTTCAAAGATCTAAGTGTCCCTAACCAATATTTAACTAAGATGGGTTTTACAGTTCCATAAAAACTGTAGGTTTATTGCTTTCAGCCCAATGTCTACTGTATTATAAGACCATGTAAGGAAAATTGAATAGCAATTCATTCAAGGATATGTCATCTTTTATCTTTTTAAATTTCAACTACTACCATTGAATTCTTAATTCAGAAACTATATGCGTCCCTCTTTATATTCCAACTGTCTGATCCTGAACTTAAGTATTTCGTGAAGCTGAAAAGTATATACAAACAACTGAATTTTTAACAAAGTCCCATTTATAAAATGTATATATATTCAATTTGTTTCATTTATAGGTTTCTACTGTTGAATTAACTCTTCTATTATTGATGTTTAGGTTTTTACATTTCTTAATGGCTGTCAAAACTGTTGAAATGCTTTTATGGAACCTATAAATTAACTTTTCAAAATGAGTTCAAAACAAAATGAATTTAAAAAAGCTAATTCATAGTTAATTCTTAAGGACATGCCATTCACATCACTTTCATATTTATTCTTATAGACCAAAAATAGCTTATCAAAGTTTATCTATTTATTAAAATTCAATCACTTGCGTGACAAAAAATAACATTGAATAAACCGATTCAACAAATGCATTCAAATACAAAATAAGAAGACTATAATATGATATCTTTTATAACTTAATTAATTCTTTTATACTGAGATAAACTGACACAAAGGTCAGGATAACCTCCTTATATAAATAGATAGATAAAATTACCAGGCCTCCAGAGAGTACAATACAGTTGTTGTTATATGTATATGGGGCCATGATGCCACAATGCAGGAGTCATGGCAACTATATATACCTATGTCTCCTGAGGGAGAAACCTGATACGATAAGTCTTGTGCAAGTATGTGTTTTTTATGTATATGAATAAATAAATAACGGGTACTTTGGAGCCATTTTTGGGGGGCTCTCCATTAGACTGTACTGTAAAAATTGCAGAACATACTTAGATTTTAGATTAGGTATGTTTTTTCTGAGCCAGCTGGCAATGCGCAAACTAATACCGTATAATCAAGTTATGTGGTATATATACGCTAATACACATACTGTACTATCATGTAATATGTTGACTGACTTTATATGATTAACATGGAATGTTATGATCTGATGATATGATGTAATACCATAAGATGTACATTTTTGTACAACATTTTTTTTATCATACTTCATTGAGAGATGTACATGTACTGTACTCTCAACACATTTCCCCACCCACTTTTTCCTCAATAATTTACAATCAATTAAGTATATGTCATCCTAACTATGAAAGGACCATCCTTCCAACCCTCTAACTACTGCTATTATTTTCAAAATATTGATTCACAAACAATATAAGAAGGCATAAACATGCAAAATGTCACAACCTGCCATTTGTTACATATGCTGAACATTGAACACTAATCGCTAAATGCTGTCTGCTGATTGCAAACACCATCCACAAAGAAGTTGGAGCCTATATTACAATTTGTCACCATTTCTGGTGGTGTCAAAAAAGTGGTTACTTCTGAGAAAAAATTATGACAACCAAATATTTTGTTGTGTAATTTCTAAAAACATGCTCCTTTAATAACCTATTTTCTAAAGTCATTGTATCCCTGCTTCTTTTACATTAGATGACACACAAAATGAATAAAAAGAAACTGGAAGTAAAAGCAACCCACCTTGTTCATGTGATGTAGGAGTGGAAGTGGGTATTCTAGAGATGAAGTTGTTTTTGTTGTAATCCTCTTCATCCTCATGACTAGCTGAGCTATGCTCATAGTTGGAACATTCTGAGTTCTCTAATCTACATTTATGGCTACTACATCTGTTACTATGGCCACCATTTTGGTTGCTATGGTGTTCAGTTTCTAGGTTGTCATACCGACAGTTACATGGGAGATTTTCTGATTCTGATAAGGCACCGTTTTCTAGACTAGAGTTCAATGAAAAGGAAATATTACAGTTTGTTGAATGTTTGGAACCGGAGCATTTACAATGCACGCCTGGTTTAGATTTTAAACGTGATATCTGGAAGAACTTCTGGTACTGACGATGCATATTCTGATAAACTTTCTCCAGCTCTTTATCGATTTCACCATATTCCTGTATGTCTTCAAGACAGCCGTTGCCCATTATTGGGGCAGAGGCGACACTTTCTGGAAGACTTTCACAGTCAGTGTCATCATCACCATTACGTTTTGGCGTTGAAGTATACATCCCATTAACAACGCCATTGTGTAATCCAGCGGCAGGGTCAAAGTCAGATGATTCCGTGCCAGGTAAGCTACTTGTATCGCTACTGCCATCTTCTGACCACGAAGGTCGCCGCTCGTGAGCAGAGTGCGTTCTATCATATCCTGGAGTAGCTGATAATTTAGGTATCCCAGATTGCCTTCTTTTTTCACGTTTTGTAAACCCGGATATTTTCAAGGCATGTTGTGGATTCGCATATGGTGATTCATATGTGCCATCGAATGATGCGCTACGTGCCACACCACCTTTAAATCCAAAGTCATTGTAATGTCCCGTATTTCGTCTGGGCATGATGTCAGATTCCTTTATGATAGTAGTACCGAGGCCACCCCAAAGACTCTTCTCGTTGGAGATCTGCCGACGCACCCGCTGAATAATGCTACTCCCACTGGCTGGCTGTAACCCCATGGTAGATGATGGCATAATTATACAAATCGGTAGAAATGAAATGACTTATTTCTTACCAATATTCAATCACCAATAAGTCAATATATCATCCCCATCATGCAGGTTTTAATCATTCATTCCCAGCATGCCATGTCATTCTCAGTCAAATGTTACTCTAGTCTTAAGTACACACAATTTGCCAAAATGCTTTTTCTAGTTTATCAATCCTCTGGGAGTACTCCAATTATTGAAAACAGTAGCCAATAGGTCTATGTGTCTCATCCAGTAATTAGATTGTATATTGGAGCTGAGGTAGTATTTGTAAATGTTTCCAGATAGTCATATCACCATGCATATAACTCTTAAAAATCCTTATGGAAAAACACTGTCAAAACTTATGATCTCAGTAAAAATTCAACAGGATTTGATTCCCATAAGTTTTATATATCCGAATAGTTGTGACAGAATGAAGTTAGAAAGTCTATAAAAAATTAAAAACAGACAAATATATTATCCGGCTGTGTTTTATGCATGCCAAAATTGCTCATGATCTTCCCTCTATATGGCATTACACCCTGTGGTTGTAGTCCTATATAGAAAAAGATTGGCACCAGCTTTTTAATTGAAATCATTAGTCCTATGGTTCACCATTGAAGAATGATCTCAAATGGATACTTAATACCTACTAACACTCAACTGAAGTGATGTAGTATAGTCTAACATATATTGATGTATTGTTTCAATCCTTTTGTTTTATTCATACATATGCTGTAAACTTCAGTTACTCTGCATCGCAATTATCATCTGTATGCAGCATTTGTGCTTTATCACCTGACTGTATAGTATTTCTCAAAACAAGTCCCTCACTTGTGATATAACCTTATCTAGAAAATGTATTTTCTCGAAATTCAGTTCCGATTCTATATTTAGACTTCAGGACTATTCCGAATATAAGATTTTGTCTTATAAAGAATGTTGTTTCCCCCAGAGGTTGAGATGTTGAGACTTAGGTTAAAGTAACCACTAGGTTGCATATAGTAACATTAAACTCCAGTTTCCTTTCTGACGTTTGAGTTATCAGTTTTCAAACAGCCGGCGAATTCAAATCTGAACCTCTGTTTTGAAAATATGTTTTACCGACTATAACACTATTAATAATGTTACAGGCTCACTGAATTTGCATCATGATATAAACGTCCCCTAAATGTATTAATTTAACGTATCACCTGGCGTTTGGCCATCAGGCCAAAGGAACTGACGACATTAACAACATATTTGTGTCATTTGTATTCTCTGTTTGCTGGAGCTTCCAATTAACTCCTCCGTAAATATTCTAACCGTGTATCAGCAATCTCTTTGTTTCAGTTCTCCCTCAGTGGTTATTGGAAAGTATCCTATAAGTTCACGCTAACTCAGGTAGCTTTATAACATTGAATTAATCTTTAATCTATTCTGATTATTTATTATTCATAGAGTTAATAGCCCATCGTTGGAGTAAAAGTCACATTTCTTTTCTTTTTATTGATCAATTTATTTTAAAATATCCAAGTGAAAGAGTCATAAGGGCTGTTTTCCGTTGCCTAAATGCCTACTCAATCTCAATCCGAATTACGTGATAAAATGTACCAAATATTCTCCAAGTGTTTGAGTCAATAACATTTTGTCTGTTTTTAAGTTTTTTCAAAAAAAAATGACGGTTGAATTTAGTGTGCCTTCAGTATTTTTTTCAATGCCTCCACCTACCCTTATTATTTCTTGCTCCTACAAGACATCCATATTTTTGGCGTCTTCTATTGTAAGTACACAATGATATTTACAAAATCAAGATCACTCATAATCGACACATTAAAGCAACTGGCTACCTCACCCTGATGGAAATAACATGCCACACTAAAGAAAATCTTTTTTCACCCTGACAAAAGCTTGAAATATTGAGACTATTTGTCCAAAATAGATAAAATTAGGATTTAAACCTAGTTGAGAAAAACCTTGGGAGATCACTGAAGATTGTGGCAGAGGGAATAAAATTCTACTTGCTGGATACCCAGATGTATCTGGAAAGTAAAAATACCTCTATGATTACATTCCGTATCCAGGAAATAGCTTAAAAGCAGCTTTTATTATGTCAAGAGGATTGTGTACAAAAATAGAAGACCACCAAAATTCACTTTTTAACTTGAATAAAATCATCTCCATGTATATGTATCCCTGCAGGTAATATCAATTAACTATATGTATAAATTATATATTTGATTAATTAATCAAGCAGCCTTATCAATTTCTAAAGGTGAACTTCAAAAAAGACACACCAAGGCAACGTTGATATAAAACCAAGCATAAAATAGCATAAAACACATTCGGTTTCTAAATTATAACATTTTTCGAGAGCAATGAGTACATAGTTCATGTGTATGACCACCCGTTCAATACTTCTAAATTATCATTAAATACATTGTAATCTCAGTTAATCCTTCTTAAAACACGACCCTGTATTATACAAAGCATTACTCAAGATGTAAAAGTTTAACCTTTGTTGAATCATCAAGCAAACTTAAAATATTTATCAATTTAAAAATGAACTTTTTGAAAAGAATATGATTTATTACTGAAGTAGGAGGATCAATTGTATTCTGGTGATTAGGATTAAATGATTGATTCTTTTGCTGTTTTTTTCTAATTTAGTTTCTTAATTTCCATTAGTTCTCTTAGTCTGTAATTTCTAATAATTGTTTTCAAAATTTCTTAAAGTTAAAAATTCAACATTTTGGAACATATAAATAAATGGTTTAAAAAAATAGAATGAAAATATAATAAAATCATCCTGGCCCTACATTCATAAGATTAGGCACCTTAATAAGAGGACGAACCGTGTACCAATCATGCAGGAATATACCCATCATGCACTTTAACCTAAAGGAGGATGAATTATATAACCATCATTAAGGATCACTTGCGATTGAAGAATATAGATGTTAAAGACATTTATTTACTGATGCAATTCTTAGACTATATTTAAATTTCTTTATCTTAACCTTAATCACAAAGTGCATATTCCCATATATATTTTCTAATGTACAGTGTACATGATTTAATACAAGTACAATCATAAAAGTGAATCATACAGACACTGGATCCTGCATGTAATCCAGATGACATCTACTATCTCCAACAAAACCACAAATATGGGGAACAGTACATTGCAAAGCCACTAAATATGGCTCTGGCCAGACAAATAATAACAAGTTGTAAATGCCGACCTGGGACTTAAAGCAAGCGACAGCATAATACACCCCCTTCATCAGTTTGGAAACCAGTTAAGTCCCAATTAGTTGGTGTGTCAAATGAATTTGTTCCTCAGTTTCAATAGATTGGATTTGATGTTATAGTTGAAATTAACAAACGGTAAACGGCTTTAATAATATTCATAATCTGAAATGGAACTACCAGTTGCTTAACTTTTGAAGGGGAATGTATTTATCATGTTATAAGTTGGGAAATATTTCACCTGAAAACATTGAACAGTCTTACCTTATTTCTACATGTCATTTACATAAGGATCAATGCCTACTCAATCACAAATACATATACAAATCCTAAATCATCTTTCTAAAATAGCATCCGAAATCATTAAGATCCTCATATAAATGGTCTCCAATCTCTGCCTCAATATAAACATGAATCCAATAATGTCTCCTCTGTATATGTACATGTATGTTAATATTTGTTGTAACTTCAGCTATACCCCTTTGTTTCATTACATCCGTAATTAAAATAATTAACAATTGTAATTACTGAATGACAATTTAAACAAGAGTTAAACTGTATTTTGCATACAGCTATTCGTATATATGCTCAAATGTACATTTTCACAATTAAAATTGGGTCCTTTTTTCCGAAGAGAAAATCTCACAGAGTATTTAATGATGACATAACCAAGATGTGGAAATTAGGGTCATAACATGAATGGTTTAATTGCTACATTTAATGAGTATTGTGTTGACTGTTAAGGTGATCCTCATTAGAAAAAATAGGCCAGGAAATATTAGAAATATTATAAATATTAGGCAAGCAAGTGGTATGTACAAATTGATGATCGAGTAATGCTTTTGATAATTCTAGGGCAATTTATACATCAGGGAAGTATTTTAGCGTTTCTTCTGACAAATTGATTTCTTTGTGTAAATATAGTATTTTTGGTGTTTGCTACTTGAATGTTAAATAAGAATTTTAAACTGTCTGAATAGTTATTACTCATTGATAGACAGCATAAAACAGTTGTTACAAACCTTCAATAATAAATAAATAATAAATAAATAACTACTACTCAACATTGACTACTAGACTTATTTCTGCGGAACAAATTGAAATTATAGAAACATAAAACACGACTGAAAACATATCTGTAATTGGTATAGCCTTAGTAATTAAAATTAGGTTTCAAGGTGTCACAATGTTTTACCCTACAACATTTCAGTCCTGTATGTAACAGCTGGTCAGTAAAATATATTTCACATTTATCTCCACATTTCACAGAAATTATTCACCTAATTATAGAGAATGCTTCAACTCACATTTTTGAAAGGATTTTAATGACGAGCCAAATGCAGAAAAATCGCAAAAACACGACTGAAGATGAGTTTCTTTGTGTTTTTGTTTAGCAATGTCACTAATGAAGTTAGCTTGACCTATCTTAGCTACATATTTCCCGTGAATATGCATGCATAAAGTGCATGCAATTTGGCTGATTTACTTGTCTTTATTCTTAGCATATAATTCTTTTGATGAATCTGTCTTAATTTGCTCTAAGTCAAAAATACGACAAGGAAATTGAGTTGTCAAATTATATGAATTATATCATTTCAAAAATGCAAATGATGTCAAAAGGTTGAATTCATGTAACAAAGGTGAAACTTGCCCATAAACTAAAATCATGACATCTAGGTTTTAAACATGAAATAAAATAAACAAACTTCCACTACCGTGAAAAAAATATCTAAATATAAAATATACACTCTGAATTGTACAGAAATGTCATAAGAGCAGGGACTTCAGAGAAATAAGAGGGAAAGATATGATTTAAGAATGAACGAGGTAATATTTTAGACATGTCAATATGGCCGCTGGTATTAGCTCTAACCTCAACATATGTTAAAAATTGCACATGACAAAATATGGTTGTGTGTGAGAAGAATACAAAATGATTGATTTTAAAGTTTGCAAAATCTTGGCATCTTTTTTCGATAAAATTCTGGAATAAATGTTCAACTTCCAAACTTTGCATGCAGCTTTTGAAATATTATCAACTGGCTATGAACAAACAAGTAATAAACAAAGAATTAACATGCTAAATCTCACTACCTACCATTTGTTACAGACAACAACTGCCAAACACCAATCACCAAAACCAACCATCAAACACCGTCCAGAAAAGTTGGTAACCATAACAGTGTTGTCATTAAAGGGTGACGCATATCGTTTAGCAAATCGAACGCTCGTTTCTGGTGTTGCTCACCGTTTAGTATAAAAGGCCCGATCCCGGAATAATACTCAAGGGTTCACAGGTTCGATGTCGTTGTGTCAACACCTCTAACTGTTATATAGCATAAGTATATTATGGATCGTCACACATTTATAAAAGGGTGATTTTTATTTTGACAAATCAATTCCAAATTTATGGGTGAAGTTTCAGGATCTTCTATTTGTGTATAATAAGGAAAAATTGGCATCTAAATTTCCCCATAACGTAATAGCACACAGCTTGGCATATGAAATATCCTACAAATGAAACAAAGCAGTTCTAATACAAAGATTTATATTGGCTGTTGTACATGTACTGTTTGAACGCAATCACTCTATGGATAACGTTTTCAAAATCATTATAAACGGAATTACTTTATCTCAAAGACAATTTCAATAAACTGGATTTTACAGAACTCCCCTTATTTCTTAAAAATGGACTGATCCAGTTGATTCGCCTGGAGCCGCCATATTGTTTTTATACGGGATGCTTATCGGAACCCTTTAAGGAGCAAAAACAGCCTGGTCAAACGGACCTGTTCCCCATCAAAATTAGGTGGTCCGTAACAGGATGTGCTGGTCAAAATGACCAGTATTTCAAAAAAGGTGCTGGTCCATATAAAGTCTCACTGGTCAATAAATTCATGATTGTTTTAAGCACTTAACACTGTTTCAACATCTCTATTGTAGGATTTATAATTGTAACACTAAGAAAATCAAAATTTGAGAATAAACATAGTTAGTTTATTTTTTGTACTCAAACGGTACATGTTTAGCGAACCCTCCCCCTCAAACAGCTCATAAAAAAGCTAGGCGTTCGGTAATTGTATGTAATACTCGGTTTAGCGAATCGATTCTAGCGAGAATTAAATGTTCTACTTCCTCCGTGAAAAAGGAAGTTTTGAAAAATGAACCAGATATCTGCTGGATACGCTCGTGTCAAGGTAAATATCGATCAAGACGACCACAAACAATAGAGTAAACCTGCGGACACATATTCTAGAGGTATGTAGGTATCATAAAAACAAGCTGGTCCAAAGGTCCAGCACCTGTGCAACGTTTGCCGGACCGGAGGACAATCAACTGGTCCCTGACCGCCGGTCCGCTCGTTAATGTTAACACTGAACCATAACAATATAAAAAAAT